TTACACACCCCGAATATAATGCTTTATTCACTTAGGGCTTACACACCCCGTATATGATCTAAATTCACGTAGAGCTTACACACCCTGAATATAATCTTTGTTCGACTAGGGCTTACACACACCAAATATTTCACAGACTCTATATCTTTGTTTAGTCATGGCTTCAACATCAATAATACTTTGTATTTGAGTAATCATAATCTATCAACCTCGGGCTAGTCTTCATCAAGTCTTCCCGGGCTGCCATCATAGAGTTTTAGGTGGACTCCACTGTTTCCTTTCAGCATGACCGTAGTCCATCACTCATTCTAAGTCACTGTCTATCTTATTCCATGTCCTAAATAGGACACAATTTATCCCTAAGGACTCATATCAATTTACTCATGTCAATAACTCAAGGATTCTTTACTTCACATTTAATCACTTTGTCTATCAACATAGATATCCATATATTCTTTTTAAATCATATGGAAACCACACATTTATTTATATAGTTCTAATCCCTCAATATCAATTCAATAATCATAATATTCCAAGAATTTCTCCCCTCATGCATAGTCCCTTTGCTTATTCACCTTTGTGAAATCATATATCAATTTTCATGGCCACATAGCAATTATACCTTACTCATATTCAAATATATCATTTCATATCATCAAAACCATATTTTGATTACTTAGGTAATCTTATGCTCAACTCACAAATTATAAACGATATAGTCAGTCATCCTCACCTCAAATATGTCCATCAAGCCTTCCTATTGAAGCCCCATCGTTAAACCTTCGATCAGGAATGATCCGAAATGGACTTGGCTGGCAGAGGGAAAAATCCATCCGGCTTTTGCAAAAGCTGCCCGGCTTTCGGGCCCTGCAACACGGAAACAACTCCTAACAATGGCGATTTCGATTTCTATCGATTCCACAACTCTTCTAAGTTAAATACCAACACTTTATATCATTTTTCTACACTTTTAAACGAGTAGAACATCCCCTAGAATCCATCATATGATTTCTATAAAATCATACACGAAAATTATATTAAACGGAAGAACAAGAACCGGAGCTACGAGATTCTTACCGCTAGGTTTCGTTCTCTCTCGGATTTCCTTCCTTTCTTGCCTTCCTTTCTTCTTGGTTTTTTGTTGAGTGTTTATGGAGCTCTCAAGACCCCTCTTCCATACGTATGGATAAAAGTGAGAGGAGAGGATGAGACTCCCTCACTTATACTTTCTATTTTTAGAAGGTTGGGCCAATTTAGTTGGTTGGGTTCGCGGGCTGCTCCTTTTAATTTACTCCGACCCAAATGACTTTTATTCGTTCACTTGTATTATTTTAGGCTAGTATACCTCAATAGGTTGATCATAAAATGTATTGGATATTCCTCTCCAATAATCCGGGCTTAAACCCTTTTACATTTCTATTATTAGAAAGTGGCTCGAAAAGTCTCTTATATTATTTCTTTACCTTTTATCCGGCCCAAACATTCATAAGTCATTCATTTCCTTATTCTTGGGCTTTTTTTTAATTCACCAAGGGCCAAGAATATATTAGTTAGTCCCTCCCAATATTTAGGGTCCAACACACAATATAATTAATCGGAATTAATTTAAATTATTTAATCATTTCTAATATGATTAATATACTTGTAACTAGTTTTAAAAGTGAATAAATATTCATGAACTCAACTAGTCATCCTCATCGACATTGGTATTTGTACTTTCAATTACATTTTAATACTAATGGATTAATTAATTCAAGTTCAAATTGGGAGCGGTGTCACAGGTGACCTATGGACCCATTAACCCATCTTGTAGTACGTATGGGGGCCTCCATTGACCGCATGAATGTAATATGATAGACCACACCTTGGCAGCCCCTGGAGGGGAGCAAGTTGATGCTATGAATTTTTCAGAGGCAAGGGTATTACAACCAGGCTTACAATCACCAGCAGTATGGGAACGGAAGGGAGGTTGAGTCAGTTACATCAAAGAAGAAGCCCTAAGAAGTTGGACCTGCTGAAGCTACATAATAGAAGAAGGAACAAGAAAAGAAGGAGGTGGAGACAGCACCAAAACAGCCCGTTTCAGTCAAAGCTTACTTCCCACTTCTCCCCTTCCTGGAACGCTTGAAGAGAAAGAGTGATATTGAGGAGTTCAATAAGTTTCTGAACCTCTTTAAACAATTTCAGATTAACTTACCATTCAGGCACTATCACAAATGCCCAAGTATGCCAAGTTTATGAAGGATATTCTTTCAAACAAAAGGAAGTGGGGAGATCCAACATCGGTGGTGCTAAACGAGGAGTGCTCGACAGTGGTGTTGAAAGAGAAGCTCAAAAAGCTCAAAGATCCAGGTAAGTTTACTATCCCTTGCTCAATAGGAGATTTTATTTTTCATAAGGCCTTAGCTGATTTGGGTGCAAGCATTAATTTGATGTCGTATTCACTATATGAGAAGCTTGCACTCGGTCCACTTAAATCAACACGTATGTGCATACAATTGGCTGACCGATCAGTCAAATATCCCCAGGGAATTGCCTTTTCAGGCCACTGCTCGAGCCCTCATGAATGTTGGAGAAGGGAAACTAATTTTGAAAGTTGGTGAGGAGAAAGTAACTTTTTGCATGGCCAAATTGGCAAAACGGTCATGCCAATCCATAAATGAGTGTTACTTTTTAGATGTCATGGAACCATTTGGACAAGATGGAATAAAACCTCCACCTCTTAAAGAGACTGTTTTTGACCCCTTTTTTGACAAAGGGCCTGATAAAGGCCTTGACACACTCTTATGCTTTAGTTGTGTCCCTGAGATGAGCAATTGGTTTCATGAATTTAAGGTTTTGCTCCATCTTAAGGTGTTTGTTGACAGGAGGTTTGATATGTGGAGAACTAGTTTTCTGAGTGGAAGTGTGTTTAACTGAGGTTCTAAGTGGGGTTGTTGCGTCGGGTACACAACGTTAAAAATAGAGCTTCTCGGGAGGCAACCCGAGCTTATTTTTGCATTTTAGCTTTAGTTATTGTGTTTGTCTTAAAAAAAATGACAATACAAAAAAATGAGTTTTTGGGTGTCCGCGCGCCCCGAGGACGAAGCCACGCGCCCCGCGGTTCAGAGTTTCGGAAAACCAGCTGCAGGTGAGGCCGCACGGTTGGACCGTGAGGCACCCGCACGCCATGCGGCTCAGTAATTTAAAATTTGGCCACAGAACCACCCGCACGGCGTGCGGGTTTACAATTTAGCTTTTATGGTTTGTTTTGCCTTGTTTGTGTGTGTGCAGCTTGATCCCTTGTGCGTTTCAGCTAATTTTTGATGATTTTTTCTTCACATAAGCTTATAAGTTTTATGAGATACAATAATATTTTTAAAAAAATAAAAAGATATTAAAATTCATGGAAGTTTAGGTCTTGAAGTGATAGTCTTCAATCATTTGGACACTATATTGACACACTTTATCTTTCAGCTTCCTTATTGATAATGAACTTATCTTTTAGGTCCCATATTAATAAAATTATTTTTCTTAAAGTGTATGCCTTTCAAACTAGAAAATTCTTTAAGACATGAAGTAATATTGATTACATACCCTTCACATGCATGAATTATAGAATGATATTTATATTAATGCAACTCTTTCCGTATTCAAATATATGTAATACTTTTCAGTTTGACCTGTATTTAAATATTTGTGACACTTTCCTTTTAAGTAAGTGGTAGCTATGCTAGGATACCACTAGGGTTAATCTAGAGAGAAGACTGAACTAATTGTATATAGAGACGAATATCTGATAATAAATGATATTTTAATCGTTACATTTGTCCAAACTGGGGCTATTTATACTAGTCATAAATACTAGGTGAATTAAATGCATGCACATGTGTAAGCTAGTCTATCTATGAGCAAAAACCTATAACGTATGAGAAGCGGGCACATGGTGCTACTCATACATGGAGTTCGATGAGCCTAGGAGTCTGTACCATCACACAGATGAGGGGTCCCATATGAGGGGTCACTTAAAGGAAATGTTAGTCTTTTCGAGTCGGTGTGAGTCTCATGATGCTTGTTATTGGTGCCCTCGACTGGTTGAGGGCTCCACCAAGGAGGTGATCTTCCGTCGGTTGGGCCTATATGCTTAGTTGGGTTATTCTAGTGTCTTGTGAGTATTTGGACCGTATGATCATATACTCCATTAGGAGTCCCCACTCCCTTCGTCGAGAAGAATGGGAGATGAGAAGGAGTAATTACAAAGTTTTTTGAACTTTGAATTTTTACTATCCTCCGTTTTTTGTGATGTGAAACTGAGGGGTAGTTCTCCACTCCACATTCCTACTGGCTGAGAATGTTTTGCGTAGAAGGCATTTATTTTGTTGTGTTGAGACCCACCAATTGTTTATTCATTGGTGGGTCTTGATTGAGGCAACCCATGAGGGAGAATCCTCACTTCCCGAGGTCATCACAACCGGTTTGGTGTTGTGTTGATCATTAATGAAGTATTGTCGAGGATGAGGTATTGGTCTCACAATAGTTGCCTTTATGGTATATCCATGGTCGAGGGTCTCTCTAAAGCGAGGCCCGAGGAGATCCTATCGTAAGACATCGGGACTTTGAGCCAAGTGCCATGGCTGGCCAAGGGCGTGGTGTGAGACTATTCTACTAGATGCTAATTTTCACATTTTTGAAAATTCAAAATTGTCTTTTTTTATCCATAACCTATTTTTTAATAATAATTTAGACTATTCTATTAGATGCTAATTTTCATTTTTTTGAAAATACTACATCCGTCCCACTACCATTAGAACATGAAGAAGGGATACAATTATTAAGAAGAATGTGTTTGTGTGGTTGATATTGAATTGATAAAATAAAAATAAAGTAAAAATGATTTGAAATTATATAAATTTTATCAATTTTGATATGAGACAATCGTATTAGGATGAATCACACCAAAAAATGTAACAATAAAGTACTTTAAAATTGAAATAGGTCAAATCGTAAGGCAGAGGTATCATCCGGCCGAGCTTTATAAAGGGCCCAGCCAAAACCTTTGAGAAGAAAGCGTGACGGTCTGGTTTATAGCGTAAAAGATTGCCCCTTGAGCAAAAAACCCAGAGGCGAAGAAGACGAAAAAGAAAATGGCGGTTGAGGGGCAAGTCATTTCCTGCCACACCATCGAGTCCTGGAACGAGCAACTGGAGAAGGGAAAGGACAGCCAGAAACTGGTTGGTTATTTTAAATTCTGAATTAATTTTTTATCTTATTTTTTGAATTTTATAATCAGCATTTTCGAATCGGATCTTGTCGCTTATTTACGGACTATATTTATAATTTAAAATCAAATCTTATTATTGCTTTCTTGAATCTTCTTGGCGGTGAATTTTACATGATTTTAGTCCAGATCTCGAAGTGCATGGCTGTGAAAAAAACATTTCTTTGCATCCTGAAAATCATTTTTGATGGGATGTTTTGTTTCGATTATTCCACGGTTTGGTACTGTTTTTTATTTGTCGACAGGGTTAAGACGACAACAGAAACATAAATCTATTGTTTCTTAACTTGATATGACTGTGAATACGAAGATTTTTCTGCATGGTTGCAAGGGGAAAATAACGAAGATCAACACCCCGTTTCGTAGCAGAAAATGACTATTTTTTCTTGTAGAGTAAATATAAATTCAATATATGCTGAATATACAGATTACGTAACAGATTAACAAATTAACAGTGCTCTATTTATACGGAAAAATAAATTGAGCAAGGCAAATACTTCCCATAAATCAAGCCAACAGAGTACATTTGGTGTGCTCCATCCATTTCATACTTATATTATTGATATTCTTATTTATATTTATCTTAATGGTATACTCCGTATAATTTTTAGAACATTTATCACCAATTCACCATTACAATATTATTATTATTCAGATTAGTGAAGTAATAACTAATACTCCGTATAGTTGCTTGTAGTCGTACTTCATTTTCTTAGTATGATATTTTTTTTTTACTTTTTAAGATACATAAAAAGGCGACGAAAGACAATGATAACATTTTTATTACTGTGTATATTATTTATTGATGTTGTTGTTAGAAATCAATAATCCCAAAAGAAATATGGGGAAATTCCCAAAATAGAAGTAAAAACGTTTTGAAATTTTAAAACAGTAGTTATGTTTTTTATTCCTTAAATAGAAGTAATTACTGTCAAGTTTGGAAAATACTGCCATATCTTAAGTCTAGTAATTTCAAAACATGACCGTAATTAATCTTGTTTAAGGAATAAAAAATAGTCATATTTTGGAATTCACAAACATTGTTATTTCTATCTAGAACAGTTTCTTTTTTAACAGTTGTATTAAAAACCCATAAATTGTTCTACATATAAACACCATTTTCTTATGTCTTTCCATGGTCTAGTCTCGTAAGGCTCTAGTGTGGTGATCTAGTCTGATTTGATCTAGTCTGAATCTATAAGACCTAGACTACTACAATCTAGTTCTATAACACATGGTCTAGTCCGATATAGTTTTGTTTGAATAATCTTTTCAGATCTAATTTAATGTGAGCTGGTATACTGTCATGTGGATTTTAGTATTCACACATAGTCATTTTTATTTCTCAAAATTTTCTTTCTACACTACTTTTTGAAATGTCTCAAAATTTTCTTCTCATTTTCTTTCTACCAATTTTTATTATTAATCATTTTTCATAAAATCTCTAAAACTATTCACTTCTTTAAACTAGATACAAATCTAAATACTACTTACGAAATGACTAAATGAATTACTGTGAATTGTTGGGTGACTAGTGGTATTGGGGGATTTTGTTGGTTGGTTCTAGTTTTATTTGTTAGACTCCAGGTCATACTAAAAAATGTAGAAGGGATAAAAGATGAAATTGCTGTTATTTTCTCCTAATTGTTTTATGTGAAAATAAAAATTATAATCCGTATTATTGCTAGGAATTCAGATTTTACTTCAATGTTCTAACATGTCATGTTATTGCAGATAGTTGTTGACTTCACCGCTTCTTGGTGTGGTCCGTGTCGATTCATTGCTCCATTCTTGGCAGAGTTGGCTAAAAAGCTACCTGATGTCACCTTCCTGAAGGTGGATGTGGATGAACTGAAAGTAAGACCAACCTTCTCTTTCATAATATAGCTTCATTAGAAAAAACTGGAGTGTAGTTAATAGTTGTAAATATGGGATGAATAGCAGTATAATGCGAGCAACCTCTCTCAGATGTACAGATTTTATTCATTTAGCCACTGATGTAAAAAAATAATTATAAATGTAAGTTCCTCGAGCCATCGAGTGTTTTACTTTGTAGTTGGACAAACATTACTGATTGAATGTGCATGTGAATTTTTATCAAAGAGGTTTCGTGCATTAAATCCAGTTGGTAATGATTTGATAAAATGTGGTGGCGAGTGCAAAAAAAGAAAATTCCATTAAGGGTATTTTGTATACGGCATGGAGAGTTTGGGATTAAATCATTAAAAACTAAAAAGCCCAAGGCAATATTCTCGTAGAACTGTGGAAGCTTAATTAATTTGTACTCTTTGTTTCCTTTCTGAAGGAAGTTGCTAAGGATTGGGCCATTGAAGCAATGCCAACTTTCATGTTTATGAAGGAAGGGTCAATTGTTGATAAAGTGATTGGGGCTAAGAAAGATGATTTGCAGCAGACCATTGCCAAACACATCAACAAAGCAGCAGAGTCATCATCTTCCTAGTCCGTGTTTCGTAGCCTTTATTTATCATTGCTTTGTTATGTTTAGAATCTTTTAACTTAGTGCGAGTTATATTATTTTATTTATCTTCTTATCGTACAATGCTTTGATGTTTGAACCTTGCCATCTTTAATGTTTGCAAACAATATAGTATAAGTGTTTTCTGCCCTTCTAATTGAGCAGTGTTATTTTAATTATTTTTTCACTTAAAAAGGAAATATTGATATGTGATATTAATTTGCTGTTTTAGTTTGCTTCTTTTGTATTAAGTAACTGGTTTGTTTTATCATTTCCATAATCTTTGATGGATTATGGATTAGAATTTTGGATCCCATATTTGACACTGTCAATCAGATAAGTTCATGGTAAAGTAGGTGGTTAAGTAGGTAGGATGTTTTGATTTGGACGGAAATTTTTCGGGTTTGGTCAGGGCTGGTCTAGTATGTTTTGTTATAGTTTGCTTTGGTTTTATGCAAGTGTTTGAGGTTTAAATCAATGTAAGTGAAACCATCCTTATTCTTCTATCCTAAGTCTTTCTGCTTTCCCTTTTGTTTTGTTCCACAACTCTTATCAAGTCCAAAATAGAAAATTGTTTTCCGCCAGAGAAAGTATTAGGTGCATCCAAGTAAGTGTCCTCAAAAGAAAAATGCATCTAATCAGCAGTCTTGAAAAGCAAAAGGGGTATTACTAGCATTCTCAGAAATGTAAAATAAACAATCATAAAAAATATGGATGTAAAATTACTTCCAAGTGCAAGCTATATTTTGCTGTCAGCCTGTCAAAGGTATCAAAATAAGTGAACCATTCCCACATCTTTCAAATCTCTAGACTTGAACTTTAATTGCAACTTACACTTTGTATTAACAAAACAAACAAAAATAATGAAAAAAAGTGATTATTAATACAAATATATGTACCCTCATGAATCATGATCTCATCAATGTTTGACCACTACTTGAACTTCAGCACCTCTAAACAAATACTCCGTATCACCTTTAACTTAGTCTAACTTTTACTGTGTTTTTCTGTGTGCTTAGTGTTATGTTCTCATTTCCAATCTTTTCTCTTTCGTGTATGTGGAAATATTCACATAGATGATCTCTTAAATCTCATTGGGAAGGGCTGCAGGTTGCTTCCACTTTCAAACTCTTCAACATATCTGCGCATGGATCTCCAAAAACCCAATTTGCTACTGTCACCGAGCATCTTGGTTTCCCTTGACACTTCTGCAATAGTTTCAGCATTAGTCAATCGTACTTTCCAAATCAAATTAATTTATTTCGGGTTTAGAACATATCAGTGCGTTTTACATTTTTAAAATAATATTGTCATACTTTTAGGTGTGCAATTTGGCCATTTCACTTCAATTGCTTTCAAAGTGATCTGACTGAGTTGTAGGGGACAATTGTTGAGTGTGCTTGACCCCTTAAGGGATACTAATGTGTTTCCTAGTGGATACTGGATAGTCATAGGGGTGGGCTTGGCCCTGGTTCTGGAACCCCAGACCGTGACCAGTTGGTTTTTTGTCTGGACACATTACTCGTATCAAGGGGAGAGGGAAAAATTAGACACCTGTTTTAAGGTTACATAAGAGCTAGTAGCATGGCAATGCCCCTTGTAGAATTCCCCGCAGGTTCCTAGTGGAGTTCCAAAGCTTGCAAACTGGATGGAGGAAATGTATTGACCGCGCCCACAATCAAGGCGGAGTTTGGGCTTACGAAACTTTTCTTTTCTACCAGAGCTCTCAATCTGCATGTTCCTCATATTCGGTTGAAATTCAGAGACATCTGCACAAACACTCCTTATTGATCTCTTCACAAGAGTAATTCTTGATGGATCTCCTCTATGCTCCTCAAAGACAACCAACAAATTTCTTGATTGTAGCCAAGATCTGGGTACATGGTACCTGAAATATCAAAACTGTCTAAATTAGTATGCATTAACATGTTCAAGAGCAACAATTCAACAGGAAAATGTACGGATCCATCAAAAGTAGAAAGTGACAAACGAACATGGAGTAAAACTAGAAAAGTTAAAAACCAAGAATCAAAACTGGAATTGATATAATAGTGCTGGGATCAAAAGTGAAATATTTTAAGGTTTACATTCTCTGAGTTGGATGACCACATCCAACTTGGTTCCTTTGAGGCTTATACCGTCCAGCATAACTAGCCATGTCTTCTGTGCAGTTTCCGTTGGCCTTCGCTGTCCAATATCTACCGATGCTTTGACCGTTAATCCATACTTGACCTTTTCCCATGCTATTCATGTCCAAAGCCAATGGTTCATCTCCCGAAGGTTCGTTGAAATAAGCCTACAAAATGTGTACTGAGAATCTGAGATAGCGAGATGACCAGTCTAAATATTTGTTTGTTGATTTAACTTTGTAAACTTTGTATTTAACGAATGGTTACACGTCGGATCAGACCGACGTCAAAGTGGTGTGCTCGTTAGGTAGGTTTAGCCCAACTGAATTGCTCATTTGAGTTTGATTGCCTTCATATTCATATCCATGAATACTAAATCTCTTACATAATTTTCAACCAACATACCTTATACCATGTTAGAGGCTTCTTTGTTTGTTTCACAGAGGCCAATCTCTTCCAACCTACTGACGAAACATGACGGGGTGAAAAGATCTTCTTTGCCTCTCCTGTAAGCCCTACCTGCTAACAAGTCATTCATTAGAAGCACAACACTCTGGCATTTTGAGTACCTGAAATGGAAGTGCAACATAAATGTGTACCTGGTATGTCCATCTTGCATGGGACAAGTCCAATTTTTCACTGTCAAGTCCATATAATAAAACAGGACCGGGAGAGATTCCTGTGCTCCTAGTCTCAAAACCTGAACCTATATTCTATAACAACAAAAAGATAATGAAAATGATTTTTTTCTAATTACATGCAATAAATATGTACATAAGTTTCTTTTTTATTTTAAGAGCCACTGAAAACTGACAGTAGGACTATAGAAATTGCTATAAGAAATTGGGCAAAAGTTGGAGCGACCAGAACATAGAGGAGTACAAAGAGGCTAGAAGAAGAGCAAAGAAAGATGTGAAGGAAGCCAAAGGAAAAGTGAATAAGGAATTGTATGTAAAGTTGGATTCTAAGGAAGGAGAAAAAGATATCTACAGACTTGCTCGCCTTCGTGATCGTAGGACTCAAGATATCGGAAAAGTTAAGTATGTGAAGGATGTCGATCAAAGGGTACTAATGGACGATGAAGAAATAAAAGAGAGGTGGAGGTCATACTTTGATACCTTGTTCAACGTGAATAAAACCCAAGGTATTGATGATCTTACTATACCAGAGTGTATGGTAAATAGGGACTTCGTGAGAAGGATTCAAACAACAGAAGTTAAAGAGGCTATGAGAAAATGGGCCGGAAGAAAGCAGTGGGCCCAGATGGCATACCGATCGAGGCTTGGAGAACTTTGGGAGAGAAAGGCATCGAGTGGCTAGAATACTTTGGAGAAACAAGAATGTGCCAGTGAGTTGGCGGAAGAATACTCTCATTCCCTTATTTAAAAATAAGGATGATGTACAAGAATGTGCTAACTATCGAGGGATTAAGCTTATGAGTCACACCATGATACTTTGGGAACGGGTGGTTGAGCAAAGACTACGTAAAAGTGTGAAAATTTTGGAAAATCAATTTGGTTTTATGCCTGGACGCTCAACAACTGAGCCCATTCACCTTCTTGGACAAGTTGTGGAGAAGTATAGATACACTAAAAAGGATCTGCATTTGGTGTTCATTGACTTAGAAAAGGCATATGATAGGGTACCTCGAGAAGTTCTTTGGTGGGCCTTAACTAGAAAAGGCATATCACGTAAGTATATCAGCATCATCATGGATATGTATGATGCTTGTACTACAAGTGTCCGCACTAGTGTAGGGAGGACCGCATAGATCCCTATTACTATTGAAGTGCACCAAGGATCTGCTCTGAGTCCTTTATTATTGGCTTTAATCATGGGTGAACTTACGAAGTCAATTCAAGAAGATATACCGTGGTGCATGATGTTTGCCGACGATATTGTATTGATTGATGAGACACAATCCGGTGTTAAAGCAAATTTGGAAGTATGGCGACAAACATTGGAGAGCAAGGATTTCAAACTGAGGCAAAGCAACACTGAGTATATGGAGTGCAAGTTCGGTGGAGGTAGAAGCAGTAGCAACAGTGGGATTACTCTTGATGGTAAGGAGATACCGGTGTGTGATATGTTCCGTTACTTGGGATCCATAATTCAGAAGGATGGTGAATTAGACGGAGATGTATGTCATAGAATCAGAGTTGGGTGGATGAAATGGAAAAGTGCTTCAGGATTTCTATGCGATCGAGGTATGCCGACTAAACTGAAATGTAAATTTTATCGTACAGCAATTAGGCAGACATTAATGTATGGCGTAGAGTATTGGGCGGTGAAGCAATGCCACATTCAAAAGATGAGTGTGACAGAGATGCGTATGTTGCGTTGGATGTGTGGACATACCAAAAAAGACCGCCTGAGGAATGAGGTAATCAGACAAAAGGTGAGAGTAGCACCTATACAAGATAAGATGCATGAGTCTCGTTTGCGGTGGTTTGGGCATGTGCATAGAAGACCGAGTGATGCACCTTTCAGACGACTTGAGGGGTGGGGAGAAGAGTCAGATAAGAGAGGGGGGGAAGACCCAAACAGACTTGGATTAGAGTAATCAGAACTGATATGCGTCTTCTTGGGTTGGATGAGAGTATGGCATTGTAGAGAGCAAAGTGGAGGGTGCACATCCATATGGACGATTGATGTCTTGTCTACATTTCCTCTCTTGTTTCTTTTATCGTTTATCTTCCTTATCTTTTTATATTCTTATGTTTTTTTTATCTTCTAGCTTTTTTATGCTCTTTTATTTATTTTTCTTCTATCTTGGTTATATTCTTGTGTTATTGTTATCTTATACTTATGTATCTTTATTTTATTCATTTTATCTTATTTTTTTCCCTTTTCTTGTCCGCCTTCTGTTTTTGGCATCGATATCACAGATCGATTCATGTTAGCCGATCCCAAATTCTTTTGGGATTAAGGCTTGGATGTTGTTGTTGTTGTAGCCACTGAAAACTGACCCAGAAGAACAACATTGAAATGTTGGGAAAAGAAGGGTTTTGCCTCAAACGCACTCATGATATATAAATTTTACACATCAGCCTATTGAGATTAAAATATGTGCTACAATCCATAAATAATCATGTACACCACACTTCAATTAACAAATTACACAAAACAAATTGAATACTTTTGTTTTATGTGACAGTTAATTTTGTTCTTTTAGAGTATTATGCACATAATTAAATATAACACATTTCAAAGTTCATGTTTTTTTAAATCACGAGGGTTTAATGCGCAGAATTTGTATATCACGAGGGGATTTGGTTCACTAAACTCTGGGAAAAAATGTTTGCAAAAGTTCCTTTTAGTGATTTTTCACATTTTGTTTTTATTTTTTGTATTAAATCAAAAAGTATCTTTTCACCTGCAAATCACTTTTTCTTGTAAAGCACTACAATTTTTAGTAGTAATAATTTTTTAATAAGATCTTGAAAATAATTCACTTCTCCAAATTAGATAGAAATCAAAATACTACCCACGAAATGACTAAATTAATCACTGAATTGTTGGGTGAGTTGTGGTGTTGGGAGATTCGTCGGTAGGTTTCGGTATAGTTTGTTAGATTTTAAAAATCCAAACTGATTAATTTAAATTAGTTTTGTTTATGTCAGTTCAGATGGTTTTCAAACTCTAAGCCTTGAAGTGAAAACTGTATTTGGAGGTTTTTATCAATTAATTTTTTCAAACATCTCATCATTTTTAGCCTTTTAAATTCTCAACTAGTTTAAACTTAAAGTTAATAGACCATTAAATCATTTTCCGAATTTCCCCCTAAATATACATTTGATAGATCTACCATAATGCCAGTAAGTAACAAATCGAGTTGAAATGTTTTTTGAGCTCTAATGTGATTATTTACATCATTGGAGGCCAGTTACTATGCTTTATGAGTTGTGATGTATTCTCATTTTTGTTCAGCCCTAAATGGTATAGGATAACCTGTATGCATTCATGAGTTTATAATCCCTTTAACTTTATACTTAATCTACGCGTAAGTATGCATAATCATTGCTTGAAATGAAAAGGATTATTAGCTAAATGTATCCCCAACTATCATCAAATTCACAAATCTATCACATGCTTTCACTTTTATTAAAAAAGATTCAAACCTCAATTTTTCTCAGAATTACACTTTCAATGGATGAATTAGTAAATTTTAAGAAAAAAAATCATATTTTATATTTTTTCACTTCTTTCTAGTTTTAAGTTTACAAACTTGTATTGCTTATATCTTATTGGTATTGATAAAAAAGTGTAATTTTGAAAAGAAAAAAAGGAAAATCTTAATTGTTGAAAAAGATGAAGTTAGGAATAGATTTGTGAATTTGATGATAGTTTGAGATAAAAAAGCTAATAAACCAAATGAAAATCATAAAAGTTAGGAACTGAATGCCCTAACAGCAATGTCGGAGAGCGAGAGCTGCGCTCGGGTTCGGTGTGAAGCAGTCCGGGAGGCTCAGGCAGAAGGTCAAAGGTCAAACATTTAGCTATGAGCCTTTGAAAGAAGCAGTAGTGTGTGTGAAATGGTAAAGAAGAGAGTGAACTAACCTGGAGTCCAACTGCAACACTGAGCAATGCAATAGTATTTGTCCCTGCCCCGAGTTCAACATTTTCAACAAATATGAATCTCTTAAATTCCCTTGTGCCTGAAGCAGAACCTACGATAACAAGATTGGTCGTTGCATTGTTAGTTAGTACGTAGTATAACTTAAAAGAACAGTTTTTCAAAATATGCAAACCTTGATGAACATTTTTTGATGAGACTATGAAAGTTACCTGAAAGCTTTCCATTGACAAATACAAGAAGAGCATGACCTTCTGATTTTACATACAGTGCTGGGAGCTTGCCGTCACGCAAAAACGACTCAGATGAGTCAATGTGGACACTGCAATCGGGGTGCAGGTGAAATATAATTTAAAACATCATTAATTTTTAATTTTTAAACTTCAAGAAACATGACTTGCCCAATAACACATATTCCCTGAAATAAAGCTTTCCACTTTCAATCCTTTCATTATTGAGTGAATGACATTTTTATGCACATCTTTGAAGTTTCTAACTTTTAGTTTTACGACTTTTGTGACAGATATTTCGAATTTGAATTTCTACTTTTAGTCGTTTAACTATTGCGTCATTGACACTTTTGATCATTCAACTATTTTCATTTTGTCAATCACTTTTGATCATTCAACTATAACTGAAAAGATTAAACTCAAAGACAAGTATCAAAAGCCATAGTTTGTCACTAAGGCATGCCATGTTACTTATGATTTACGTACCTTGTTCTGTACCACAAATAATCACTCCTGTCTCTAGTAACATTGATTTGCTCTAAAAGGCCATAGGCTGAAAATGGCAAGTCCCCTGATGCAAATACATCTTCGCGATAGAACTCCCATGAAGACATTTCTGAAGTAGTTGGTAGCATTCCCATTACTGCTGTTTGAGCCCCAACCTGCAAGAGGAATATGAAAGCAATCACATTGTTATATAGAAATGCATGAAGATTTCAGAAGACTTCAAGTGAAGCATTAAGGGCTACCTTGGCACCCTAATTTCTTGGTTTATTGGTAACATTTACTATCATTAGCTAACTCATGTTACTACATTACCTGATTCTGTTGATTGTAAATAACAGTGCATAAGTTAATTCTTTATTGATAGAGTTGAAATGAAGCTAAAATACACTGCTACCCTCAACTTGCAAGTATCAATTCCCTTGATAATTTATCTAACCATAATTGAGCGCAAATTATACCGTACACCCGGATGTACGGTCTTCACCGTACATCCGGGTATTTTTGAAATTTTTATCAACTTCTCCCAGTCCATCATCCGTTGCGCTGCCCCGATTCCTTCTCCCAGGCCATCGCCGTTTCCGTCTATGTCTGTGCCGATCGATTTCCGAGTCAGACGATTCTGATAAAGTTTGTAATGGTGAAGAAGAAGAAGTTGGCGCATCATCCTCTTGCCTGCGCTTCTTCTTTGCACGTCTTCTTTCTGCTCGAATGCCTCATTGCCCCCCCTCCCATGGTTCCGGAGATGTTTGTTGCTCGGTGCAGCGTTGGTCAATTGACTACTGGTGTGGGAATGTTTTTCTCTTTTGTCTTTCTTGTTCTTCTTTTCTTCCTTTTATGTTTTTCCTTCTTTAGTTCTTTCTTTTTCTTAATTTTTTTAATCTTTATTCAATTATAAAATATTTTAGATATTAATGTTTTGTTTTTCTATATCTCATTTTGTAATTTACGTATGCTCATTTAATATTCGTTTTATGCTCATTTTAAAATGTCATATCAATACACAAATGAATATTGAGCACATATTGAGCACAATAGAAATGAGTTTATGTTAAATTCAAATGAGTATAACGTCCAAAATGAATGAGCACACAAAATTTGCGTTTTTAAATTTTTTGATAGTCATTTCGTAAGTTATGTATGCTCATTTGGTAATAATGGTATGCTCATTTAATAGAAACTTGATTTTCATCTCAATAAATGCGGTTTGGTGCTCAATGAACATATCGTTATGTTAAACTAACAAATCTTACGATTTTCGTATCAATAAACATTTTATAAGTTACGTATACTCATTTGGTACTGATGTTATGCTCATTTTAAAATGTTATATCAATGCATATTTTAAAAGTATCATATTGCATTAAATTCGCATATGGAAATTCAGAGGAGTGTATTTTAGATATAATTCAATTACTTTTTATAAAAGAAAAAATAAGGAAAAAAATTGAATTAGAAGATATGAAGCAAAAATTAGGATACTCATTGTTAGCCTCTAAATACTCAATAAAATGGGTCAGATGCTCACTACATGTACACTATTGCCCATTTAGCGGAAACCGTGATTTTTCACTTAAATTACAAAAGTGACACCGAAATTTTTTTGGTTTGTATTTATTGTTGGACTGTCTTTCTTATTTGGGCCGGGTGTACGTACACCCGGATGCACCATATACGAACTGATAATTGAGTATACATTTTATAAAAAATCAAGTAGGATCGGCTCATTCAGCAATGAAAAACTCAACAAATGCTACATATATAGTCAACCATTTTAGCCGAACATACCTCTCTGCATGGGTTCTACACTTCTACACAGTGGTGTAGTAGCTAGGAGAAAACAATGGGGCAGGCCCGTAAAAAAATCACTCCCCCTATCCTATTAGAATTTTTCAAGTTTGATTGACACGTGGAATGCAAAAGTAAAAACGGAAAGGGTGTTAATTGTTTCTGCTCTTTTCACTTCAACCACAATCATAGCATTTCACTCCGGTGTAGTAATAAACATGTCAAGGGGAAGAAATTTGAAATAGGAGAGTATGTGTTAAGAATCTAATATTGAAACAATAAAGATAGATTTAGATGGATTTATAAGGACTTGTTTTGGCTATTTTTAATCGATGGGATTCAACCTTTTAGTGTTCCAAATTGACTAGCCCCGTCCAATGATGAGTTTTATCACAATCTTCAAGTTATTTCTAGAGCATAGCATGAAGATGTCTATGACTGCAGTGAGTAGTAAAAAGCTAGTTAACATACTTGTGCTGTATTGAAGACAACAGTCTTGCAGTCAGGAAGGATGCTGATGGACCAAGCTGATAACTTATAGTGCATGTTGTTATACATCACTCTCACGGCAGAGTGCTCGTCGAAGTTCGAGAGAAAAGCTGCACATTGTCCCGACCTCGAGACGTACGTATACGACTGCAAAGAAGAAGTAAAAAATCATGTCAATGTGAGGGAGGGGAAAGTGCTTCAAAAACCAAAGGATGAATAGGAAAAGAGGAGATAACCTGTTGAAGGGGTCCTAGAGATTTCACGGTAGGATCTGATGAAACCAGTGCCTTTTCACATAACTTAAGTGCTCTATGAAGTTCCTTCAAGTGACCATACTTTGGATTTCGAAATAACCCTGTTAGTGTGATACTATACAATTATATATTCTCATTTGACAAGTTCCAATATCAACCATAATCAGCATTATCCAAAATGATAGGGGTGGGCACAAATTTGAAACCGAAAAATATTTCCTCAATTAAAATTGGATAAATTATTAGACGAATTTACTTGCACTTATGATATAAGAATAGTAAGATCTTTTTTATGTTTTGGGGGTGACTATAGCCTAGCATGAAACCTAATTAATTTAAATTTTAGTTAGAGTTAACTTATTATAAATTATTTTGTAATTTCATATCTCAAATCTAGTTTTTTTATTATAACAAGTTTATAATCTGAGGTATTTGCAATTGTAGTCCTGTAACTTTTGACTGTTATCATTATTGGTTCTGTAACTTTACTTCCTTGCAAATTTGGTCATGTAACTAATCAATCTTTGTAATTTAATGACTGTTTCACTAGAAAGTAACTTTACGGCAGAAAAATCTGACGCTGGTGACATCGTTTCTGATATACTATTGCCGGAAAGTGTACTTTTCAGGGGAAAGTCTAATAGTTTAAATCCCAAATATTAATTAGTTACACAACTATATTTGCAAGTGACTAAAGTTACGGGAATAATAATGAAAACGATTGAAAGTTACAGGATGAAAGTTGCAAATTTCCCTCTATAATTTTAATTGGATATCACAAATTAGGTTTTTTATTATAAATTATAATTATTAGATGAAGAAGTGATACTCCTTATGCCTTTAAAGATACAGACAATGCATGAGTTAAGCTAGTACACTCCTCAACTTATTATATATGTATTTCAAATATTCACAAGAGAGCGAATAACAAGGTTGTTTGTTCAATTCTCGCTTGACATGGATTTTTAATTTTTTATACATTTTTTATACACCTAAATTACAAGGCAGAAATATCATTGTTTGGGAAAAAACTCTGAATTGGCACGTTCTTACCGAACTCATCGAGAGGTGCATCATAATCATAGCTTGTAGTGATAAAGGGCCCCCCCGCTGTGCGTCCAAAGTTGGTGCCTCCATGGTACTATTAACATTAATTAATTAAAGACTTAATTGTAACTCACAATTATCTTAACTAATAAATGAAGACATCCATTTCTTCTCTACTTGATTAATGGAGTTAGATGAAGAGACACCAACCATGTAATAGTTAACTAATGAACCTCCTTTTTGTATGAAATTAGCAACAGAAAATGCCATGTCCTGTGCCGGTCGCTTGTAATTTGCACCACCAAACAAGGAGAACCTAGCAGCACATACATAAAAGAAGCTAAGTTAACTTGTACTCGTATATTACATGAGTACTATGTTTGTTTTTTAGTAGTTTGATCGGTCAACACAGATACTACATATCTGATATGTGGGCTATTAGCCCACACGATATTAACTCAATTTTTTAAGGGGGAAGGCCCGCTAAGGCAGCTTGCTGTCTGGGACTTCGGGCGTCGCCTTGGCGTTGTACTGTTGCCATGGCCCGACGCACCTCACCAAATAATAATAAAAAAAATCTGTCAACACAGAAAATACTGTTCCTTGTGACATTACTATTGTGATATTAAAATGTGATAATGTCAAACATTTGTTAATAGAGAAATATTTGTTGTACACATATTTTATACATTTTTTGTGTACACCCCTCCAGTTGTCTTTCTACAAGACAACTTTTGAATGAATTGTCTGTGTAGACAAACAACTAGAAGGTGATGTCAAAATACGTGTACCAATAGCATTTGTTATGTTAATATGATTTCATGGTCTCGTAATTTAACAAAATACAGTACTCATATTTTGGAACATCACACTATTTTAAGTCCTCTTTCAAGAAATTTATCTCAAATTGTTTACCCAATTCTTGTGGGTAAACGAGTCTTTCATGATATCATAAAGGGTTCATAGAAGATACATACCAACCCGTCCAATTCTCCGTCCAAATCGTGGGTTTGTATGGTTTGTTGGGGGTGAATTCATCACAATAGAAGCCATTGCATGAGTTGATCTATTGACAAATAAAGCAAAACCCCACAGTACGGTTAATATTGAGGACGAGTAACAATAAATTTTGATCTTTTATCAAGACTGAGATTCATCATAAGAAATATATCAATTTTCCTTATTAAGGGAATAAAAATATGATAATCTTATTTTGGAATTTCAAAATGTTTTTACATCTGTTTGGGATAATTTCTCTCTTTCCACGGAGTTCATAAAAGTATCACATTTCACCATGAAACAATAGTTAAATGGATAAATCATGAATGCTAAATAGATAAGATCAATAGCTATATTATGAACAAATTATTTCTAATCCATTATAATATGGGAAACAAGAGGTTTTTTAAAAAAAAATATTAATAAAATAATATAAAAAATAGAAAGTGACTAAAGTTAATTAGTTTGCATATTACTATTATAATCATTTTGTAAAGATCTTAAAATTTTGTTTATCGTTTTTATTGTCACATACAGTGACATACTAGTATGAGTCGATTATTACGTAAAGGAGCACGTACTATAGGATCAGGGGCATCATCTTGCTTGCACATCACCCAAGGGACTCCAGTATCCGTTTGAAGGGCCATATTTGCAGCCCAATTCGCATACTTGTTGCCAACAGACCCAAGTGCCTTGCCTTGGCTCCCATACTCGTTCTCTATCTGTAATATACCCACAATTGACCAATTATCAGTGTTATTATTATTAGGGTCCGGTCTGCAGATCTGATCTGGTCTGGTTTGAATTGGTCTGTGTTGATCTGATATCATAAATGTTCGGTCTCTGTGTATTTTATAACTGTCCAAGTCTGATCTGGTTTGATTTGATCTGTTTAAGTCTGGTTCGATTTGGTCTGATCTGGTGTGGGACTGAAAACGATCCAAAAGAAATCATCCTAGATTTGAAAAATAATGTGATCTCATATATGTAGTGACTATGTCAGTAACTTGTAGTTATTATACTTATATTCAACTTTGCATTATTATAGTGATCATAATGCTACACTTGTAATAATTGTAGTCACATATTTGTTCATGGGTTTAATTTGAGTAATATTTTTAGAAAAATATCGCCTACACTTATACAAGAATAGAACCATCAAACTCATATAATACTCCGTAGGACTCCGTATTGAAATTCACATAATATAGAAGGGGAAATTCCCGAAATAAGATTTAAAACGTTTGAATATCATAAAATAAGACTGTCGTGTTTTTATTTCCTAGATAAGAGCAATTACTGTCAAGTTTGAAAGATTTACAGAGTATCATGTTTAAAGTTTGGTACTGTCAAAACATGATAATAATTACTCGTATTTAAAGAATAAAATTATGACATTCCTATTTTGGAATACAAAACATTTTTACTCCTTTAGAGTAATTCCCCCATACACAACTTACAACAAGAGACTCAATCAGTTGTGAACAAAATATACCACATGTGAATAGATCACCCAAAACTAAACTAGACTTATACACAAAAGGAACAAGTCATAAAACATATTACTTGTAATTAAAGCAACAAATTTGGTCAAAGGTTGTTGACCTGTGTGAGTATGATTGGACCTCCTTGTGATGCAAACATTTTATTGCTCTTCATCAAATTCACAATCATCTCTGTGAACCCTTTCATGGCCAACTGTCAAATCCCTTAAAATACGTTTAGTAGCATATTGGGCAAAGCCCTAAGAGAATTTTTAGTGTTGAAGCCTGATTAAAGAAAATAAAAACGGACCTTGAAGGGCTCGTTATCTGTTCTGAAGCTAATTCCAGGAACATACTTTAGCCATACCGGAAACCCTCTACACATTAATGAAATATTAAAAGTAGTGAACAATATGGAGTAGTAAATATGGAATTCTATATTAAAAGACTAGTTCACCACATATTTGGAACAATATTTTTAACACCCCTGAATCATATGATCGGACAAGGTCTAGAGTATAAAGATAATGCCCAACATGAGGTAAGTATGAAATAATTACATTCCAAACTGTTTCCTAATATTTCCTTATCAGCTATGTTGCACGGAAATGTGAGATTCACCGGAAACAAGAAACACAATCTTTTAATGAAAAAAAGCTATTTGGAGAGTTTCCGCAGAGTTATTGAAACGGAAACGTATCAAATATGCAAACAAAGTTACCCGAAAGTAACTTTGTTTCTGTGCTTCATAACGAATCCTCCTCACGAAAGTTTCTGTGCTTCATAACATATCAAATATGCAAACAAAGTTACCCGAAATTCCATTCGGCACAAACATAGGGTCCAATGCGAAGATGCGCATAAAGCCCTGCTTCTTGAATGGTTCTCACAAACCTAACCAAGTCATATCTCCCTTCAAATTTATACTGCAATTCATTCATACACATGAAACGTAAGAGAATTGGAAATAGTATAATAATAAAACAAAAGAGAATCAAACATTGAGGTTCACAAAAAAAGCAAAATGAACAGAAAGTCAAGAAAAGAGAAAGTACTTGGCCACGGTAAGGCTCATGGACATTCCAAAACACATAAGTCTCTATCACATCCAATCCTCCTTCTTTAGCTTTGAGGATGAGATCTTCCCACATCTATATCAACTGATCAGATTAAAATCACCCAAACCAAGAAAAAGAGAAGCAATCTATATGTTGATTTGTGTTTTTATACTCCGTGATCTATAAGTTTAGCATATCGGGTGTGCTTTAGCATACCTCGGGTGTGAGTTAGCAATCTATATGTTGATTTGTATTTTTATACTCTCTAATCTATAGCTCTATAAGTATTAGCATACCGGGTGTGCTTTAGCAATCTATAAATTGATTTGTATCTTTATACTCTATAATGTATGTTTTAGCATACCTTGAGTGTGCTTTAACGATCTATATGTTGATTTGTATTTTTATACGCTGTAATCTATATGCTTTAGCATACCTCGGGTGTGCTTCTTGGATAATGAATGGAACCGGAGAAGAGTAATCTCTTTTGTCCATTGATGACGATGGCCTTTCTATCATAGGTAACTACACTGCCATGAATGAACTCAGAATTGATAATGATGAGAAAGAACAAGAGGGAGAGGCAGGGAGCAGCCCATTTGACCTCCATCATATGCTTTTTTTTCTTGCTGCTATCGGCTGGTGATGATGGAAATGAAGCTCCTCGATCAATTCTACCTCCCAATGGGTGTTGACCTTATTTTATTTAAACCCCATTTTTTCTGCTCTGGACTGCAGTGTGGCAACGTCGTCAACTCCCGGACTATGATGAAAGAACAGAAGTCTTCACAGGAAAGTGATCTTTGTATTTCTGCATTTACTTTATCAAGGAGTATTTATTAGTCCGTATTATTATTTTGAAAGTTTATCTATGCATGAACCAAAACATAGATAAGCTATCAATTCGAGACTTGAAAGATAAAATATATAGATATAAGGTGAGATTGATCGAAAACTATCAATATAGGATCTAATTTGTCATGATTTTTTTTTTAATTTTAAAATATTATTTCAACTATTTTTTTTTGGAACAAAGCGACTTAAATTGATATCAAAGCATTCGGCAAGGGAACAAGAAGATAAAAGGACTACTTCCAACCTCCAATCCTCGAACCAGACTTAGAGCAAATCACTCTGGAAAGCAATATGACTCGCTGATATTATAGTGGGTCTAAATGAGCCTAGCGCGGCTAGAGTAGACCCCTCATCGCCCCAACCTCATGCAAGAGTCTGACAGAAATAAAAATAGCAGAAAACAACAACGACAGTCTAATAAAAAAAGACAACGAAAATAAAGTAGTGAGAACTCAAATGCACCCTCACACAGCTGACAAAAAACCTCCGACCTCCCATATCCTCGAACATTTTTAAGGCTCTCGGCGGGTCTATAGTCCAAGACCCGCCCCTTCGTCGTTTTTTGAAAAGTCCACCGCAACATTGTCCTCTTCGCCATCCTCATGCTGTTTTTCCTCCCACATTGTTCTACGCTTCTGCTCTCCTGGGAAGCCTTCCATAGCTGCTGCTTCGTTCTCCTTTCCTCCCATCGTACTAGCATCCACCACGGTGATTATCCCACTCACACTGCCCCTCTGGCCCAGCTACCCCATCTCTACCGCTTGTAATGCTCTGTTGCTTACCCTGCTGGTTCGATCCGCTTCCGCTTGACGAAACTTCTGTAACTAGCCATTTGTTAACCCTCATCGGTCGAGCTTTCCCGCCCTCTCCAGCACGGAGGTTAACCCCAGAGGGTTTAGTCAGAATTATGTTCTCACAATCATAAGCCAAGAGACAAAACCTGTCAGCATGATCAATAATACCACACGCAAAGCAAAAGCTAGACAATTTTTCATATTTAAATTCCACCCTATGGCCTGTACCCCGCCCTTTCCTCAACGTCGTGCCCACCTTCAGAGCTTTCCCTACATCCATACTTACCCTGAACCTCATGTAAGAATTCCAACGTTCTTCAAATTGACTTTCATCAAAACTTATAAATTTACCGATGAAATTACCAACTCTCCTAGCTACCCCTAAAATCATATAATCATAAGGCACATTTCGACTTGCACCCAAATTTCAGCCTCGTTTAGGGGAACCTGAAGAGGGATATCCCTGGTTTCAGCGCCCTCAGCAGCAACAAATTTTGTTCATACAGCCACGGGCCGCCTCCTAGAACTCGTTCCATATCAACTATATGGTAGAAAGTAAACAAATACATCTTCTCGACAATCTCTTTAATAGATATCCCTTTTTCCAGGTGCCAAATAGAGGCCATGAGATCCCTGAATACAGGAAACCTCACCATTTTGTCTCTGAGAATGGTGCCAACAACCAGAAAGGTTACGCTATGATTTGATGAATCATCCTCACCTTCAATCTCCTCGTCCAAGACCAGCTCTTCCTCATCCCCTCTGAGCGCAATGTTGTCGCATTTGCTCACCATCTCTTCCATCTCTGCCATATCGCTCGGTGGCTCTTCCAAATCTTCCGAGAGAGAAGCCTGCTTCGAGACACCGGTCTGCCTTCTCCCAGCCGCAACCCTCACTCACGCGAATACCAAAAGCAGCGTCTCAATGACGCTCCCTAACACTCGTCCTCCAGGATCGGCGGTGCACAGAAGGCGCACAAAGCTCTCAAACCCTACGTGAGGGAGGTGACCGCTTTTTAAATACTCCGTATTATTTAACTTTATTAAACTAATAAACTTTTGTGAAGAAAAAATCATCAAAAATTAGCAATGGAATTGCTAAAAAATTAAATAAATCAAAACCAATGAAATTTTAGATCTTAGATTGATAGTTTGCAATCATTCGGACTCTTTATCAAATATCAACACGTTTCATGTTTCATATCTCGAATTGATAGCTCATACCCCGTATTATATATTTCGAGTGCTGAATTGATAAAATTCTTACTATTTACTATACAAAAAGTAAAAAAATGTGTAAACGCGAAGTCGTATACAAAGTACTTCCATGTACACGCGTTTGTTTTTATTTATAAGTTGGAAGATGTTTGTATTTGATCTCTAATCTAACATTTAAATAGCAACATAGGGTTGTCAAATATAATCATAAGCTTATAGACTTTTGGAGCTTTATTATCAAGCAGAATTTGAACATTCAAACCGCCAGCTAAATGAAGATTTTGATTTTTATGGCCCCACGCCCCCCACAAACCCGCACATTACGCAGTAAGTCTCTCTTGAATCACGGATATTAAACTTTGAGTACATTTCTTAATCTTCGCTTGTAATGGCAGGTTCTAGACGTCATTATTTGATTATATTCTTCTCTTACTTTATACTATGTACTACGTACTACGTACTACAACTTCTTGAGAGCAAATTATACCGTGGGATCGGTCCACCTTCCGCATGGTGTGCCGATCCCACTTTTACAAGTTACGTTCCTTTTTATTCTTTCTTGGAACTTCTTCATTCCTTTTTCTTTTGTTATTCTTTCCTTATTTTTCTTTTATTTAATTCTTCTCCATTTCCATCAAATTAAAATATTAAAAATTTAATTTTAGTTTTACTTTCCTTATCTTCAATTTAAATTATAATTGAATCTATTTTTTAATTCTTTATCAATACATAACAAAAAGTTTAATAATCTAAATAAAATAACTACATTACATTTCATATTCATACACTATTTTTTGTAATATCTTTTTTACATTCACATTTTTTTTTGTAATATATTTTTATATGCATACACTTTTTCTATAATATATTTTTTTATCACTTTTATATGTTTTTAGAGGTTTTTAAGATATTGAGTTTGTTTATTTTGTTTCTAGCTTGGAGTTACATTTGATAATATACGAAGTTACGTCATCTTATACTCCAGTTACAAGTTATTATGCGTGAGTTACATCTTGTTATGTGTGAGTTACATCTTCTTATACACGAGTTGCATACTTTTATTCACGAGTTTCATGTAATTATGTGTGAGTTATATCTAATTATTTGTGATTTTTTACTTATCTTTATTTTGAACTAATTCAATTATAACTGAATTAATTTTTTTTCTTTACCAATTTAATACAAAATTTTATTAAACCACATAAAATAAGTATATTGTATTTCATATTCATACACTATTTCTTACTTTGTATATTTTTTTTTATATTTATTATAAAAAATAATAAAATATTCCTAAACTCAAAATATATAAAAAACACAAGTATATTGTATTTCATATTCATACACTTTTTTTGTAAAATATTTTTTATATTCATATACTTTTTCTATAATATATTTCTTATCTCTTTTATATGTTTTTTGTGTTTTATAGTCATTAAGGTTGTTTATTTCGATTTAAATTTGAAAAAACATGAGAATAATGCATTTTTTGTATGTGTGAGTTATGTTTATAGACTATTTCTATAATTACATTTGATATTATATGGAGTTACATCTTCTTATGCACGATTTACATCTTCTTGTGCGTGAGTTACATCTTTCCATACGCGAGTTACATTTGAGTTTGCCTCAACAAGTTACATTTTGCATACACTAAAGTTAGATTTTCAATCAACGCAGGTTACATTTTCTGTAATATGAATCACATCACAACATAAAGCTTACTATTGCAACAAACGAATCATTGTTATGCAAAAAAACTGTTTTCCAAAAAAAATGTGTTTTGGCACAAAATATATTTTTAAAAACATTTTTATGGACTTAATATTAAAAAAAATATTCAACATTTATGTTAACCCCTGCTATTGAATAAAAAAATTACATTTTTTTGCAAAAACAAAATGAGTTTTTGGCCAAAAAAATGATTTTTAATTTGGCAAAAAAAAGGTAAATAAAAATTATGTCCTTAATATTGAAAAAAAAACATATAAACTATTTAAGTAAAGTAATTGAGCAATTAGATTCCTTATTTTCATTAAAATCAATGTTTTATTTCTTATAATTCGTATTAGACAAGTTACATTTCAACTTGCTTGTTGTTACATTTCTTATTAGCGTGAGTTACATTTTGTTACACACGAGTTACACCTATTCCGCTACTGGGATAATGAAAAAACAAAAATGAAGTTACTGTTCACGCGCGTGAACAGTAACACGTTTTTTTTTGTTGTGGGAGCAGCATGCTCACCCTGGGCTACTCCCACGATATAGGAACTGAATTCCGCAAATTATACCGTACGATCCTTATACGGTGAGCATCCTATATTTTTTTCGTTTTGTTTTTAAAAATGATAATAACTCTTTTATTTTTGATTCGTTTTTTATAAAATTTATATCAACATTTTTTATTTTTCATGATCTTTCAAATGAGACCAATATTGCTTATTTAATTTTAAGAAATTATCGAACTATTATATTAATGAGTATTGGATTATAAGGAAAATCGAACTAAATTTAATACATAAAAATAATTGTGTAAATCACAATTTATCTTAAAATTGTGTATATAAAAAATTTATTGGGAGAACTATCCAATAAGCCCTTGAACTTTCATAAAAAGTGTAAATAAGCCCTTTTACAGGGGGGTTTTGTTCGGCTGTCGCCATTTGGGGCGGTTTTCGGTGGAATTTTTTGATGAATTTTTTTTAGCATCTTATTCGTTAAGTCTAGTTTTACCCATACCAAATTTCAGCTAAACATTCGATCGAGAAGGCAGTCAAATGATTTTCTGAAATATATTGCGCTGTCTAACTGCGCAGTTATCTTCAAAAATTCATTTGACTGCCTTTTCGATTGATTTTTAGTTGAAATTTGGTATGAATAAACTAGACTTAATGAAGAAGATACTCAAAAAATTTCATCAAACAATTCCACCGGAAACCGCCCCAAATGGCGATGGCCGGACAGAGTCTCCTATAAAAGGGCTTATTTGCACTTTTTATGAAAGTTCGAGGGCTTATTTGATAGTTCTCCCAAATTTATTTTATTATGCATTTATAAATGTGAGTTACATATTTTTATACGTAAAGTTACATATTTGTACACGTAAAGTTACATATTTATACACATGAGTTGCATTTGGCCTGCCTGAACGCGAGTTACATATTTTTACACGTAAAGTTACATATTTATATACGTGAGTTACGTATTTATACACACGAGTTGTATTTGACATGTCTGAACGCGAGTTACATATTTTTACACGTAAAGTTACATATTTTTACACATAGAGTTACATATTTATACACACGCGTTGCATTTGGCCTGACTGGACGTGTGTTACATATTTCTACACGTAAAATTACATATTTTACAAATGTTAATATAATAGTTCGATAATATGTTAAAATTACATAGGCAATATTGGTCTCATTTGAAAGATCATGAAAAATAAAAAATTTTGATATAAATTTTATAAAACCAGATTACAAATGAAAAAGTTATTATAATTTTTAACAATAAGAGAAATAAATAAATAATAGGACCCACTATCATTTTAATACATGTTTCATGCGGAGCTTTCGGAATGTCTAAAACCGTATGCCGTTATACGGTGCTCACCGTATACCGGTCATACCGTATAACAACTGGTTTTATTCCTTTTGAACACGCCTAAACCCTCCCTTTTTTGTCTGTACATGAATAATTTTTTTCTTCACTTTTTAATGTGAACCGCCTGTATTACAAACAAATTTTTTGTTTATGCCATATGCATTTTTTATTTGTGTCACTCACAATTCACTTTACAATATATAAAAATATTGTCTAAATACCGATAAAACAGAGCGTGTACACGGTGTGTATAAAAAGCTAGCATCATTATTACGGAGTATGTTTCACCTTGTAAAATCCTCGAGCATCTACACGTTTTCATGATTTAGAGCCCGTTTGGTAATAACAAAATCACTTAAATCGTCTGATTCTGCTGAAATTTATGATTCTGATGATTTATGAAAAATATATAAGTATATTTAATACACTTTATTAATAAAATAAAGAAAAGGTTATATGAAAAAATAGTTAAAATTATCTTGTACAGTAAATTCATCCAGTATAGCAAAAAAATAATTACAACTTTACTTTGTCTTATTATTACATAATTCAGTGCGTAAAAACAAAAATTATGAGTGGTGAAAAAGTTGTACAATAAGTTGAAAAATAGAGTCACCAATAAACTCTTAGAGCCCGTTTGGCAGCACGAAAATTGGCTGTTCTGGCAGATTCTGCTGAAATTTATGAAGTTCTGGCTGAAGTGGCTGCATTGGCTGATTCTGCTGATACAAGAAAAAAATATTTTTAAAATATATTTTATTAATAAAATAAAGAAAAAATTATATGTAAAAATAGCTAAAATAGTCATCTACAGTAACTTCAGCCAATACAGCCAGAAAAGTAACTCCAACCTTACTTTTTCGGCTTATTACACAATTCAGCGCGCGAAAGCAAAATTTACGTGTTTGGTAAAAAAGTTGGCCGATAAGCCTGATAAGCCGAAAATAAAGGTGACCAAATGGCCTCTTAGTATATGGACTCACGAACCCGGCTTGCCCGTCTCATTTGGTAACAACTGATCTGACCCATATGGGGGGTCATGGGCCAGCACAACTCACTATTTGAAGGGATGTAAAAATCGGAAAGGTACGGTATCAGACCGAATAGTCACGGCAAGTTTACACTATCAATAAATTAAACCAATAGTTCCGAACTGTACTGTTTGATGAAATATAATTGTATAATTTTATATTTATCATTAAGGATACAAACCTTTTATAAACTGATCTATATATTTGTATTTTTTATTTTTATTTTAATAAATATCTTATTTTTCTATTTGAGTGTTAGATTTATAATTACTATTAGTTACACTTTTTTTTATCATTACAATGCATTGATATAGTTAAAATTTTGACCCTAAAGGTATTTAGATGTTTGCAATCTTTGTAATGGTTTCAACATGATATGGGATGACTTTGTTCCATTTCAAAATAGGGCAGTGCTAAGGGAGTGGTTAGATCTGATTCTTAAAATTGCTTCTGCTCCTTCAGAGAGCAGAAGCAGAAGTTTGATGGTTTGGGTAAAAATGGAGCAGTACTTCTGATGCCTAAAAGCGGCTTTTTTAGAAGTTGAGGGAGACCAAATTCTGAAAACTGATTCTGATTCTGCTTCTACTTTAAAAAAGAAGCAGAAGCAGAATCAGTTCCAAATACCCCTAAATGAGTTTGGGGTGCATCCCATACCAATTCCGAACCGTTTCAAATTAGGCGCTCCATGCTAGGTCCTCATAGTATCACAGATCGTGTTTGGAGAACTGTACAAAAAATATTCTTTTTTTTTCATATCCTTCTAAACCTATTATAGTATCAGCCGCTCCAGTTAATACCAAGTTCCTTGATTGGAATGAGACTCGAACCTGCCATGGAGCGCTCCAGTTATAGGAACCCACTTAAGAAGGAATGCTTGCAGCTAAATAGTTTCAAATTACGCACTCCATTGTAGGTTCTCAACTTCTCGTCTTCTCATAGCATCACAGAAATAGGAACTCACTTAAGAAGGAATGGTTGCAGAGATGGGATGTTGGTTGTGTAGAATTTTGTCTCTACTGTAAGTGAGTTCCTATTTCTGTCCAAAGAAATATGTAGTCATATACTCATATTTATGTCTTTGAAAACTGCAGCAGTGCTATACTACTATCCCCGCCCTTCTTTCTTGTATAAGTACTCTCCTAAATACTTTAGAGTTGTTTTATTATTGTTCTGAACAGAAACTTGTTTTTTTTGCATACTTTAGAGTTTAGAACTGAGGTATTTGGTCAATTTTCTATTATTTGTTGTCTTAATAAACTAGGCAAGTACATAATTCAGAATTGAAAATGGAAAAACGTGGAGCTCTCATTGAATATATGATCTGCTTCTATAAGCGAGTACAACTCAAGTAGTGATCATATACTGAATGCAGTTAATTGTCCAACATAAAGGGTCTAATTGGAACCCATAAAATGCCAAGGAAAGAAAATAGGAAAAGAATGGGAGGAAAAATGAGCATAGTAATTGATAGCCTATTATAAAGACAGAAATATACATATTTGTTGTTATTTTGTTTGTTTCTCTAGCAGCTTCCATGATCCAAACATACACCAAGGAACGCCGGAAGAATGAATTCTGATTTCTGTCATAAATTTAATATTCAATACACCTAAGAAAAAATTAGAGTATACAAATTATAGAGAATTTGAATGGTTGCTTAAGTCTTCACTATGGAGCCTGTAAAATGTAGTGATGGACCCGGGCCGGTCCGGTTCCGGGACGGGCCCGGGCGGGCTTTTTTTGCAAATCCTTGGGCCCGGATCCGGCCCGGGTTGATACCGGGTCCGGGCCTAACCGGGCCGGGCCCGGTTCAATGTCTTTTTTTTTTGCTTTCTTGGTATCCCCCGACCCCCCCCCTCACCCCCCACCCCCCAAACCTCCCCAAAACACCCAGCCCTACCCTAGGAAAAGAAAAAAAAATGAAAAACAAAAAAAAAATGACCCGGGCCGGTTCGCCCAAAACTGGGCCCGAGCCCGGCCCGGCCGACCCACCCAAACGGGGCTAAAAGCCCGGAACTGGCCAACCGGTCCCGGTCCGGTCCGGGCCCACACAGTAGCCTATGAGAGATTTGGGAAAAAAGTTGGCTTCAAACTTACATAGTTACATGTTACTTTAAATAAAGTCTGATTCCACTTGATACAACATGACTTTCATGAGTCTTTTTATCTATTAAAATGTTTTTACTTGAATTGAACTGCAATTTTCTGATCTAGTTTTTAACTCTAATATGACTATAGATGGAAGCAAATCGAAGTGAAAACATTATAATGGTATAATGTCTGTACTTTATCTTACTCGACCCCTTGGCCATTGCCTGTAATCCATTGATCCTTTCTAGGTCATCCCAGAATTCTCTTTTACTGTATTTATATCCATCATCTTGTATTTGTCGAATGTACAACGAGTAAGAGGTATACAAAATACTTCTTTTCAGGTTTGTCTATATAACAATATACTCCATAATAAAGTTACCGAAGATCCAAAAGCTTAAATTTGGTTCTTAATATCCGGGAAGATGATCAACGGGCGTGACGGTGATTGGCAGCTTCCTTCTCATTTTTACCGTAGGGAAATACACGATTTCGTCCTCCTCGGCCACCCACCTGTTTACCATAATTATACCCGCAATAAATGAAAGTTTTAGCCAAATACTTTAAGATTCGATGGGATCAGTATGACACTCCAGAAGAGGTCACAATGTCACATGTTGGAATCACATTTCAATTCAAGAATGTTAGTCTTATCAGATACAATAATAGGTTAAAAAGCATAACAAAAAATTATTGGAAGTTTTATTTCATTCAGTATTGACATGGATCTAAATTCTCTTTTTTGTTTGCTATTTGCATAATAGTTAATTAAACTAACTAACTGACAATCTAATCATGATTAAAGCATGACAAAAATTGTGTTAAAATAAACTCCATCCTTCTCAAAACACAGTTTACCTTCACCATTCATTTTCATCAACTAGACTCCCTTTAGTATCCAGCCTCATACATATTCTTAACAAAAAAGAACTTTGCGTTGAAATGTGCGGTAGAAACATTGTTAAGATGGTGAGCCAAGAAAAGAGTGCTACCAAATGGACAAGTGATAAAAAATACATTGCTGCGAAATGAAGAAGAAATAAAAATACCTGTAGGTTGTAACAAGATGATGGAGGAAAATCGCGATCTCAAGCCTGGAGAGTTCTACACCAGGACACAACCTCTGCCCACCACCAAATGGTGTAAACTTGCTGCTGTTTATATTCACTCCAGGCTTCTGTGTAACAGTTCTTTATTTTAGTTTATTGCTAAGCAAATATATGCCATTTAAGGAAGTCCCATACTGAAAGAACCAATGTATGTAGAAAAAAACCTCCCATCTCCAAGGATTAAAGTCGTATGGATTTTCATAATTCTCATCGTCCATGTGAACCGATATCAACGATGCCAGCACACACCACCCTTTTGGTATCAAATGTCCTACAGCAGTACAAGTTTAGGGTCCGTTTGTCATATACTTCGTAACTTCGTAAGTTGCATAACTAAACATCATAGCCAGTTCAGTATCGTTGTCATTTTCTAGTTTTTTGTTTTATGATTTCGAAATGCATATATACAACATGTGTGTGGTATAATGAGCTAAATGTAGTAACAAATTGATTAACGTGTCCTATTACAGGATAATCATTTATTGATTTAATTATTTTGAGTATTGAACTTAAAATAATTAGGAACCATTTACTAACATGAAAATCTTCCGTTTTTCCTAGAAAACAGAAAATGTGTACAATGAGTACTGTTTTTTTAGTGTCCAAATTTACGGTATTAGATCAGTTTTAATGGCAAGTACCACATTTATAAAAGCTCGGACAATGAGGGATGACATATAGAAAATTGAATAAACGGGAACCACATTTCAATAAGGGCAAGACTAAGGGATTACAAGTGCAATTACTCAGAAGGCAATGGAGTTGATTTGATTATAGGTTCTTTCCATCACAATTCATATGGGCATAGAGGATGAATACCTTTGATTTCGACATCTTTCTGGGCTTTCCTCCACACTGCATTGATAATATTTGCCATCCGTAGCGTCTCACTGATCACCTAGTCGATATATATGTCCATCAAATAATACTACGTAAGTTAGAAAATAATGTACTTATAATCTACTATTTATTGATGCTTCTTTCCATGCCAAACTATAAAAATATTGTAGCAGGATTATGACCACAAATCATTGAAACATTGAAATTCTTAACAGAATAAAACATCCGAAGTTTCAAATCATTCTAATATGTTTTGAATAAACTAAAGTCATCCTAAATTAGAAAACTAAACGTTACTGAAGGAAATGGAACAGATTGAGCAACTAAATAAAGTGTTTGCAATGGACGTACATTTTGAGTGAAGCATAGAGACATGTAATCGGTCCAAACATATTCTTCCCCGGAACTCAGTTTAACCTTTCGTAATTCTACGTTCTCCTCCTGCAAACAAGAAACACAAAACAATATATTTGTTACATACAAAATATTCAATCCAAATAGGAAAATATTATCCAAATTTAGATTTACAATATACAGAGTATTATTTTCGTTACAAATAGCTTTAGTAAAGAGTAGTGTTTAATTTAAAGCTTTATTTGTCAGTTAATTGTGCACAAGTTGTAAGAGAATGAGTAATTTTTTTTCGCAAAAAAAAAAAAATTACTCATCGTGATATCTATCCTTAAAAATAGGGAAAAGGTTCAAATCCATCATTTGAGTTTCTACACTTGAAGGAATCATATAAGCACATTATTTATTTTGAAAACACAATCAATCCGAACATGTTGAACTGATATAGCAATATATGAACTTTTTAAATATAGACACTTTAGTGGTGGATTGGAATGATAGAAGAGTCCATTTGAACACTGTCTCTAAAAAGGTTGCATTAATAATGAACAAAGTACCTATGGGTTTAGATTGGATACAAGAGTCCATATAATAAAAACAAAAGGTTAATATCATAGAAATTAAAAGGAAACTATATATAATATTCGCAATTCAATAGTTAAAAATTACAATCGTAATAGCCCCCCCCCCCCCCCCCCCAGATGTAACTCCAAGAGAAATACAATCTTTAACAAAATTTGAAAATAATATAATAAAATAATACTATCTCCATCCCGCTAAAATTGTCTCATCTTTCCTTTTCGATCGGTCACACTAACAAAATTTGAAAATAATGTAATAAATAACACTCCCTCCGTTCTTAAATATGAGTCCTCTTAGGCTTTGGCACGGGTTTTAAGAAGAAAATAATAGGGATAGTGTAAAAGATGTAGTGGATTGTGGGTAAATAAAAAAGTAGGAAAGAGAAAGTGATAATGGTAATAAAAGTGAGGGTATAAAGGTATTTTGATTGAAAAAACTTACCAAAAAGGGAAAGAAAGACAAATAATTAAAAACGTCCCAAAAAGGAATGCGAGACAGTTAATAAAGAACGGAGGGAGTACTAAATCATTCTTACTTTATTCTTACTTTATTGATTCAATATCTACACATAAAGTCACTCTTCTTAATAACTGCACCACCTTCCCATATTAATTGAACAAAGTTACTAGTCTTACTACAATCTTGGAAAAAATAAAAACAAGAAGTTGTTAATAAGGGTAAAAATAGAGTTTCCGCTCGCATAAAAGGGGTCGATAGGGAGACTGGAGACCGACAAAACAGAAAACGAAGAGAAGCTAAATGACACAAAGGTTGTCCGGCGGAAAATGTACGGGTTAATCCCATAACTCATCCATGTGGAAACCCCACGTGCACGCCCCAAATGAAAATGACGTTAAAAGTCCAGGTGTATACCTAATATATTTGTACAAAATTCCCAAAATTTCTTCCTTTTTAAGGATATACAAAATATGTACAAATGACATATTTCTACAAATTAAAGAGAAATTCTACTGTCGAGACAAGAGTGTTACAGCTAAGTGCAAAATAGGTGAGAAATAAAAATAATAAAAATTGTGTGATTGAGATTTGAACAGAGGTGAGAGAAATGTGCAGAACCACAAATCAATTGCTTTAATATTAAAGTGTCAAAGTTTTTTGGGACAAATAAAAAGGAAAAATTGGCAAAAATTCAATGGGACGAAGGGAGTATTAAAAACTTTGGCAAGAAAAAGAATTTTGGATATCGCATAGCAATGTAAAATTAACTATATACGAAGTATAAAATTAAAGTTGACCGATACTCAAACATATCTCCTGCCCATACTTTTCAAGTATTTTTATATTCTTCAGTACCGTGTCGTTTCAACAATTTTTCTTTTGAATTTTTCGATGCTCTATATTAATGCCATATATAATCTACGAGGAAAGTGTCAGTTTGGTACATCAAGTTGTAAGGGGAAGTAAATAGTACATCATTGTGCAATTGGGATTCAGAGGTACATTAAATTGCCAAAACAGTGTTAATTTAGTCCATCGGGCTATTAGGGAGTTTAAAATGCCTAGGTGGCAAGTATTAGCCGTATAAGCGGGCTCTTCATCACCTTCTTATCTTTCGGAGCCTGCAGATCCCTTTGCTGAAGCGGGAGGATGAAGCCGCCGTTCGAGAAGATCTCGTCTGCCGAGGAAGCTGTGGCGGTTATTTCTTCCTCAAAGTTGCGGAAATGGAAATCCAATGCGGTTGTTGTTTTGTCCCGCGAGGCCTTGAGTGCGGACATATCCGCTTTCGATTTGATTGACTCTAGAGACGGTTCGACTGCCAAGGATGACGTTTCTGTGACTTCCTCCTTGAAGGTCTTTCTTAACGGCTCGAAAATGGTGGGCAAAAGTCCTCTAGAACCTTCAATTCATGATATTCCTGAGGTGCACGGTCACTTCAAGGAGATTTGCCACCTCCTTCACTCAAGAACAAGGGTTCAACTCAATTCTGCCTTCGGAGCTAGCTCCTCTAGGGCTGCCAAGGTTTCTTCCACTACCTTGTTCGATTTGGCAGTAGCAATTTTGCGTCAGGGAGAAATTAGTTGCAAACGAGCTCAACTTATTTTGGATTCTTGGGTTGTAGCTGACTTCGACGCCACCGTTTACCACACATACCGCTAATACTTGCCACCTAGGCATTTTAAACTCTGTAATAGCCTGATGGACTAAATTAACACTGTTTTGGCAATTTAATGTACCTCTGAATCCCAATTGCATAATGATGTACTTTTTACTTCCCCGCTTACAATTTGATGTATCAAACTGACACTTTCCTCTATAATCTACTTCTTTCGTTCTTTATTTGTTGGAACATTCACTTTTTCACGCTTGCCGATGCACAACGTTGACCGTAATTATATTTAATTCTCTATTAGTAAAAAACTTTTAAAAATCATATTATGAAACTTCGTAATGAGACGAATTCAACAAAAATTTAAAAAAAAATCATATACATTAATAAATAAAATGTAGTCAAAACAGAGTACATGAATAGTGTGTAAATTCTAATGTTGCAACTATTATGATACGGAGGATAGTATTTCTCAAGATAGGAAAATACAAAATTTTAGTAAAAGATCATAATCATAATGTTCATCACTTTGTAGGCATCATAACTACAAGTTTATTTGGTTTATTTGTTCTTAGCTTATTACTCATCTTATTAACAAAGATTTTACCCAACATATGATTTTTGATTTTGTGTATTAAATTGTTTAATAAACAAGTTAGAATTAGTTTTTTGACCTACTGAAGTTATTATAGAGAAACATTTCGACTATTTTTCATAGTAAATGGTAAATGGGTAGTTTGAAAGCAAAAACTTCCCAAAAGTAGAAATAAAGTAAAGTAGGAAGTTAATTTTGGGATATCCAAAAAAAAGGTGGAAGTTAATTTCGGGATGAGGGAGTATTACATAAATAAGAGAATGCTAAAAGTACGTACCATTAGTTGAGCTAATGCGACAGGACTATCACTTAAGAATTTGACAACGAGAGTCATGGCCGTCGGCAAAGTCTCCTCTCCGGGAATCATCATCTCTATGAGGTTGGAGGTGATGAAATCGCCCTTTAACCTTAACTTTGTCGTCCCGTCATCCGATTCACCCATTTCTTCTAAGAGCACGTCGATTGCGTCCATTGTCGGTGCCATTTTATTATCACCGTTTCTCTCCTCCATAGCCATTTTCCTCTCTTCCACCATCTTCGCCACAAGTTTCAACAGCTTCCCCTTGGCCTGAATTTATATATCACATCAAATTGTTAACTAGTTAATAACTCTATTTTTAGCTTATCAATCAATTTTTTACCAAATACGTAGTATATAATTTTTAATTTCATGGGTTGAATGGTGTAATAATCAAAATAAGTATGGTTTAATTACTTTTCTGATTGAATTTGATAGAGTATATAGATTTGGACATCGGTCTCATGATTATTGAGCCCTGAGAGAGACTCATATACCCTAAATAGATAGCATTTCCATTATTGTACAATATTATTATTATTCAGGTGTTCTAGATTAGCTTTTTATATTATCAGTTCTTTTATGTAACTGGGTCTTTCGGACCCATATTAGAAGCCCAAACCAGATTTTCCTATATATCCCCTTGTAAACCCTAATTCCTGATCAATCAATACGGAGTATTATACACGTTCATCTCCTTCTCTCTTGTTCAATCTCTAATAATATGTTTGGATTCCTATTATCCATCAGAATTAAATGAATATAATCAATATTTTAAATGTAATTTTTCTATAATTCAGCAGATTTAGTCAATTTAAAGGTTTCTTCCGGATTTTCATGTATTTCGGTAGACTTTTAACCGATTCAACTAATTTCAATGTACTAAACGGACTAGGGGTGGGCGCGGTCCGAAATGGTCCGGTAAATTGGTAAAACCCGTAATGTATTCTTGAGGTTTTTAACGATCCGGTACGGTCCGGTTCCAAGGATAGAACCGTTCGATACCATGTCATTTCGGAACGGTACAAAACGGTACGGTACAATGCCAAACACATGCTAAAATTTTTGAAAAAATCTGACAATTAGTAGATATCATCACACCAACCAACTCACATGAAATGTTGAAATAAATACAAGAAATTGCATACCTAGTACTAAAATTCACAAATACACAAAACGATGACACATGAGACAAATATCATTTTTAATTTATTAAGTTCATGTGAAAATATAAAAACAAATATCATCAAATTGTTGAATATAATTGAAATTTTCAACGTTTTTCTTCTTCGTTCTAGGTTAAATAATAAATATTACCCCGTAGTTCTAATTTAATTTATAATTGAACCTTGAGAGCTAATATTTAAACCATATTAATTAAGTTGTAAAAAATGCACAGACACGATACAACAAAAAGTCATGTACAAAAAGTCATTACTAGAAATAAATAATCATTAATGATTTCTAAAATTTTAATATTCTTTCAATACATACCAAAATATAACATAAATTATCTAAAAAGAAAAACTAACAATATATATATATATATAGAAACACATTTTAGATATCTTAGAGACACATGAATACATACTTTGGGTATAAAATTGTTGGTCTAGATCTATTGATATAGAAAAAATATAAAAATTTCAAATGCGTTATTTACGAACAGTTCGGTCCGGTATTTTTCGGTTCTCAAAATCTAGGACCGGTCCCGTACCCGTTTCAAACGGTACGGTTTCGGTACGGGATTAAAATCTATAGAACCGTTTAAATACCCGGTATTCGGTTCGGTACCATTACGGGACGGTTCGGTACCGGTTCGGTTCGGGTTTTATGCCCACCCCTAAAACGGACGGTTAATGATGAATAAAGTGACATATAACCTAGTGTGTGAGTGTGGAAAACCTCGTACATGGAACCATTTCATGTACTTGCATTGTAAACAAAAACATGAAGGACTTTTAATGTAATACCTTGAGGGATTTGTATAGCGTTGTTCCCGGGAGCTTAACAGGAAGGCAAACCAATCCCTTCATAAATTCTTCAAATTCTCTCTTCATAAAATCCAAATCTTCACCGGGTCCGACACTCAATAACACTTTGACCAAAACCTCGAAAGCAATCTTGTAGACAAAATATAATCAATATTTTTGGTAGTGACCAGTAACCTATCTCCATATTTGTACAAAAAAAAAGAAATCCTATCCATATTTTCAATATTAAATAATTAAAAGAGTGCATAATAGTTGCTATTTTCAGTTGATGAATTTTGACTAATGACAAAAAAAAAAATCATCCCTAACAATACTCTAAAAAAACATCCCTAACAATATTTGAGTCAGTATAGACATTTAACATTTATAAAAAACTACATTAAAATTAATATCGAAGTCTTAAGCTGAATTTAAAAATGATGAAAATGGATACTCGCAATTCGATAACAAAAATTAGTCGTGTTCACTATATGAGTAATACATAGACAAAATTTAATGGAAAGAATGGAGTGTTATCACTTAAATTTTACACATTCTTAAATACATCCGAAGAGCGATTCTAAGTTGTGAAATGTTGTAAACCACGTATTTATTTCCAAAAAAGGAAATGTGACACTTATTTTGGGACAACCCAAAAAGAAAAATAAGACAGGTAAAATGGGACAGAGGAAGTAAAACTTTTATATGTAGTATATGATTCATTTTTTTTAAATATATCAAAATTTCTAATTTCATAGAGTATCAATATTGTATTTAAAAAAGGAATGGTAATAACCCTCTTTAAAAAAAGTGAACAAAATTGCACTCTAAAGGGTGGTGAGCAAAAATAATTTTTAAAATAATGAGAGTGACAACTAGGAAAAGGGAACCAAATAAAGGAAATAAAAATTAAAGAGAGAATTCTCTAAATAGGAGTAAAAAAGTTTTGAAATTCAAAAATAAGAGTATCATGTTTTTTATTCCTTGATTAGGAGTAAATTTCTGCCAAGTTTGGCATTACTATGCTTTAAAACATGGCATTTTTTTCCAAACTTTGCAGATTACTCATATTCAGGGAATAAAAAACATGATACTCTTGTTTTAAATTTTCAAAACGTTTTTGCTCCTACGGCAATTTCTAAAAATTAAATTCATGCATGTGGGTTGAGATACGGGCAAGGAATAGCTCAGATATAAACAGGGTAGTGACAGAGACCTGTTTGGCCTGATCTTGGAGGTAAATGACCATGCCGTCTTCATCCGCCCAGGTTGACAGCGACCGGCGGATGCTGTTCTCAATGTAGGCAGTGAAACGGGCTTTGTGCAGCGGCGATTTCAAGAAACTTCCGATAACGGCGTGCAGTCTCTTGTGCACAGGTCCGTTCATTTGTAGAATTGAATTGCTCCCAAACAGGTCACTAACGGATTTTGGATAAGATGGGACAAAGACATTGCCCTGGTTAAGCAGAATAACCTTGTTCACCTCTGAATCGGTCGACACTATAACCGGCTTCCCCAGCAGGTGCGTCTTGAACACCTTCCCATGCCTACTTATCAATTAGACAAAATCTTAAATGATTAACGAAGTCAAAAAACATTTTTTTTTTGATAAATTCAGAATTGTAAATTAAAGGCGTTTTTTTTGATAAAAGTGTCAAATATGTCTTTCTACAATGTATATAAAATTAATTAAGCCTCAGTAGTTTAACTTTCATTATTTACGTCATCCAAGTATGTAAATTTCATCGAATCCAATTTTTGATAAGTTGCTCCCGGTTAACAGTTTATGTGCTGAAGCGGCGCACGGGACGACATGTAATTGACCTGTTAACCGGCGGATTACCGGCTGAAATCAAATTTGATGAATTTGTATGCTTCAAGGGCGTAATCGAAGAGGTAATTGGTGAAAGTCAAAAAACTAGTAAATTACTCAATCTGGTTCCTATTAAAGTTCCCAGTTTGACTTCAAACAGATGTTAATACGGACCGGATGGAGGACGTAAGTTAGACTATAATCCCAAACTGACAGATAGAGATTGAGGCTCTGTCCCTAGTAATTACAGACGTTCTGTGCATTTTTTAACATAGTAACCTCTCATCGCAGTTATTGGGATTCGAACCCGGGACCTAACCATTGTCGCACTCTCTCGCTACAAGCATGGGCGGATCTATGTAGGGTCTAGGGTGGGCTCTAGCCCAGCCCAACCTAATTTTTTTTGTTAGTATAGAAAGAGATTTAATTTTCAGCCCACCCAAAAATTAAAACCCATCCCACCCCAAGTCTAGAAGAAAGTGTTCTAAGAAGCTCTAAAAGCAAAAGGCTGACCAAACCTTGTTTAAAGCCCATAGTCATGGGAACAAATGATCCCGAGTCACCATGAGTAACTTTTATAAGCATTAAAATTTAAACATAATTATAATCATTAAAATAACTAAGTTACTCTTTATCAACTATCCTTATTTGGTCATATACTATTTCTATTATTATTATTATTATTAAAATTATTATTATTATTAATAAAATTATAATAGTTTTATTAGTGCATTAGTTTTATTTAATAGTTATGTAATTCTATTTGATTATTAATTTAATTTATGCTCAAACTCGGCTTGAATAAAATAGATATATGAACTCTATTTTTTAGTGTTCAAATATATTTAAAAAATTGCAATGAAAATGTTTAAATTTTAAGATAAATAAAATTTATTTCTATAATTTACGAGTTATTGATAGACTCGAGTCCGGATCAAACCGAATACCACTATGCTCGAACTCAGCTTGAACAACTATTCGAACTCAAAATCTACCTCGTGTTCGAGTTAAAAAAAGCTTCATAAGCTCAGATCACTAAATTAAATTCGAAATCACGCTCGAATTCCCGTAGTTCGAAAAAAACTCAATTCGATTACGGCCCTAAGCAGCCTAAGTTAAACTTTTTGTTTGCAATAACAATTTTTTTCCTGCTAAGCCCACCCCACTCTTCATTCCTGGATCCACCTCTGGCTACAAGTTGAGCTACGTCCACCGGTAATTCAATCATGCTTTGTATATACACCAAGTTGTACCCAACATTTTACACGTAGATCAATTTGTTTGTATATAGACAATTTGACCGACATTTTGTAGAGAGAATCATTTTTCGTACAGAAAAAAATGTCTATGACACCGATACCACTTTTTTGTCATACACAATTTTTTCTTTGATTCTCTTCACAAAATGCCTCTGGACACAAAAAATTGCCGGACGTGTGAAATTCTGTGTACAACTTGCTTTGTACAAATATCATTTTCGTTTAGAACTCAGTTTAGAATTTTTTACACGATCAACAGATTTGACCCGACAAGGTTTTTTTACAAATCTTTCTAATCTATGATAGTACTTTTAATATCTCTAGTTATTTGAATTTTAAAAAGTGCCCATAAACGGCATAAAATCAATATGACCAACATTTTTGGATTGGGATAAAATTAGAAAATGTGACGTCCTTTTTTAAAGTGTTACACTCATGTCATCCAAGTACTTACTTCGCCAAGTTTGAAAGGCAACAAAAAAACACCGACAGACAAGTAGACAACGTCTTGAAACATTAATTAAAATCAAAATATACTCCGTATACATAAAAGAGGAAAGTATCCCACCCATAGACGTTGAGAATCTTGTGTAGGCTTCATCAGAGAAAGAACAATTGGTCAACTCAAACAATGGATTAAAAATTTAAGGGAGAATTATCAAATAAGCTCTCGAACTTTCATAAAAAATGCAAATAAGCTCTTTTATAAGAATTTATGTCCGGCCATCGTCATTTAGGGCGGTTTCCGGTGGAATTTTTTTATGAAAGTTTTTGAACTAAAAATTCATACCAAATTTCAACTAAAAATTCAATCGGGAAGGCAATCAAATGAATTTTTGAAGATAAATGTGCAGTTAGACAACGCAATATAATTCAGAAAATCATTTGACTGTCTGCTCGATTGAATTTTTAGCTGAAATTTGATATGTGTAAAATAGACTTAATGAAGAAGATGCTCAAAAAAATTCATCAAAACATTTCACGGAAACAACCCCAAATGGTGACAGCCGGACAAAGACTGTGAAAGAGTTTATTTGCACTTTTTTTTATGAAAGTTCTCTCAAAACAAATTTCCTGCCTAGGAAAACAAATTTTGGTCCATTTCGAAAATAAAAACCAATGAGAGAATCCAATTACTCACAGAGATTTGCGTTTGTCCATGAAGGAGACGGGGCGGGACGTATATCCGCTGGCTATGAAGTCGAGAGTTTCCCCCAACAACGGCCAGCCTGAACTCCCTTTAGGAACCGTCCCCTCCCTTTCCGGCTTCCTCGCCCGCCACCACCGTCTCTGCACCACCATCACCAACAAGATTCCGGCAACTGCCGCCGCGAATTTCTGGGCACCCCAATCCCACCTCATATCCTCCATTTCTTGAATTGCTTCCGATCTAGCTGTGTGTATTCATCATCATTTGACTAACGTGCCCTTTTGTTGTCTCTGTATATATGACGGCGGGGATGGAGGGGGTAAATTTATGATTTGGGTTTTAGGAGTACAACAATTTGTGAACTGTAATTGAAGAAGGCCATTTTAGGTGTAACAGTGGTAGCGAAATTCTTGTGTGGGCCAGGTGTGGCAGACAAAGAAGATATGGGGCGTTTGTAGTGACAGGGAGAACAAATCACGGGAGATAAACCGATAATAACCGGGAAATAATTTTTATTTAATGAGTGATTTTATTCGCCCCATAATTGCTAAAACGGGCATCAATCATAGTGTCGAATAATTGTTTTATTAAATGGGTAATTGATACTTTAATATAACCAGTTGTATTTTAATACTCTGTATAATACTACCTTCGTTCCCATTTTAACTTCCAAATGGGTTTGGCACAAAGTTTAAGATGGTGAATATTGTGTGGTGGAGAGTTGTGCAGAGGAGAGAGAAATGTGTAAGAAATGTTGTGAACCACAAATTCTTTACCAAAAAGGGAAAGTAGAAATTTTAATTGGAACGGACGAAAAAGGAAAGTTGGAAGTTTATTTAGAAACGGAGGGAGTAACTCATAAGGCGAGGAGTACAGATTTTTGTCAATTAAGTTTCCTGGATTTCTGTTTTATCGACTAGATTTTTAACCAGTCACTTGTAGATAGGGGTGAGCATAACCCGAACCCACCCGAAAACCCGATCGGGTCTGCCCTCTTATAGCTGATTGGGTCGGTTGACCCGAACCCGAAAACCCGAACCGAAAAGCCCAGCCCATGTTTTAAGGGTTATGGGTTACGGGTAGGGTATTATAAATCCCTACCCGACCCGCCCGAATACCCGAACTACCCATACTATATATACGAATTATTTAACACTAACCCTAACCCTAACACTCCAGCGCCTCACCTCTTCACTCGCAACTCCCTCTCTCGATCTCTCCTACTGCGAGTCTGCGACTTCTCTCTAACCATCCCTGTCAACTCTCCGTCGTAGGTCCGACCTCTGTAGTCTATTTGTACCTCCGGACTCCGGTGGAAGCTTGTACTCTCGATCTCTCACTCTCTCGGTCTCTCTTACTGAGGTATAAACGTTAAATACCTAAAATGTATGCTTGGTGGTTTGGTGGAAGCATGATCCATAAGTGTGATGTGTTATCTGTTTTGTATATGAATTAGTTGTATTATTTTGATGCACTAGATTCGGACCCTGATACCCTTTCTATGAATTAGTTGTATATGAATCTGTTTTGGTGGAAGCTTGAAACCCTAGATTCGGACCTTGATACCCTTTCTATGAACTACCTGTTAATCTATGATGCTTTGGTCATGCATATGATTATATGAATCTATGATTCTGAGATTTTGATATAAATGGTCTCTGAATATGTGCTGCCTCGATGATGCATGTGTGATTCTGAGATTTTTATATAAGTGGCCCCTGAGTAAAGATGATGGTTGATTTATTATGAGTTCTGAATCTTTTGACAAGTGTTGAAGTTGCCTTTTTCTACTCTAACACTCAAATGAGTAGTTAGAGTGAACTGGTATCTTCTAAGTCTGTAGAGAAGTGAATAAGCCTACTGCTTATATCCTTCTGTAGATCAGCTTGATGATTTTTCCAGACTTTAATTTCAATGTATGATGTTGTGTTCAATCTGGAAGCTTGCATTATTGAGTTTTTTTGAACTATAACTTCCTATCATTTATCAGAATGGAAGTTGCCTTTTTCTACTCTAACACTCAAATGAGTAGTTAGAGTGAACTGGTATCTTCTAAGTCTGTAGAGAAGTGAATAAGCCTACTGCTTATATCCTTCTGTAGATCAGCTTGCTGATTGTTCCAGACTTTAATTTCAATGTATGATGTTGTGTTCAATCTGGAAGCTTACATTATTGAGTTTTTTGAACTATAACTTCCTATCATTTATCAGAATGGAAGTTGAATGTATGGATACCATACCTGCATCTGGCTCTCAACCTCCTTTGACTCCTGTTTCCCAAGAACCTATGATGGAAGCTCATGATGCTGGGGCTAACACCAGCACACAACAGACTAATGTTCCTGGAAATAAGAGAAAGGAGGTAGAGTCCAGATCTAGAATATGGGATCAATTTGAAAAGATCAAAGATAGTAATGGTGTTGTTGTCAAAGGAAAATGCATACATTGTGCTAAAATATATTGTTGTCAGTCTAAGAAGCATGGCAATTCCTCTCTTAGAAATCACATACTGAGTTGTCTGAAATTGCCTGCCTCAAAGGATGCTAGGCAAGCCCTTCTCACTTTCCAACCAGTCTTGTGTAATCCAACATCTGAAAAAATTGGGGTGTTAGGGACTTGGGTGTTTGATCAGGTTGCAATTAGGAGAGCACTTGCTGAAATGCTTATCATTGATGAGCTGTCATTTAGATTTGTGGACAGACAATGATTTAGGAAATTTATCTCTGTAGCTTGTCCTAGGTTCCAAATTCCTTCCAGATGGACAATTGCTAGAGATATCTACCAAATCTTCTTAGATGAGAAATTAAGTCTGAAAAGGTTGTTTAGGGAACACACTCAGAGGGTCAGTATAACAACTGACACATGGACCTCTGTACAAAGGATCAATTACATGTGTATAACTGCACATTTCATTGATAATGAGTGGAAGCTGAATAAAAAAAAAATCCTTTGTTCCTGTGACTTCCCACAAAGGAGAGTACTTAGCTAAAGCCCTAGAGTCTTGCCTAGTAGATTGGGGTTTGAAATCTATCTTCACTGTAACTGTTGACAATGCAAGCAGTAATGACACTGCAATTGGTTTTTTTTAAAAAGAAGCTTTTATCTTGGGGTGCCTCTTCTGTAAAAGTTAAGTACCTTCATATGAGGTGTATTGCTCATATCCTTAATTTGGCTGTCCAAGATGGTTTAAAAGAAAGTGATTCTTCTGTTCAAAGAGTGAGGGATGCTGTTAAGTATGTTAGAAATTCTCCTGCTAGGCTTCAAAAATTCAAGGACATTTCAGACTTGATTGGAATGGAAACTAAAGCTGGATTGCACCTAGAGGTCCCAACTAGGTGGAATTCAACCTATTTGATGCTCAAATCTGCAATGTCCAATGAAAAAGTGTTTGAAGCTTATGAGGAGAATGAGAGTTCCTATCTTGTTGATCTGGAGAGTGAGAGTCCTGATGTTGGGGACTGGATTGCAATTGAAACTTTGGTGGTCATTCTTAAAAATTTCTATGATATGACAGTTAGGATTTCAGGCTCTCTTTATGTCACTACAAATACCTTCTTCTCTGAAATATCTGATATGTTCCTTGTTCTCAAAGAGATGGTTGCTTCTGAAACTGAATCTGTATCTAATATGGGGACTAGTATGAAATCCAAACTGGACAAGTACTGGGGTGATCCAGAAAAAATGAACATGCTCATTTTCTTTGCAAATGTGCTAGACCCTAGAGACAAATATGAGTACATGCCACATCAATTGAATGCTTTGTATGGCGATAAGATAGGTGAGGCATTCTTTGCAAAGATAAAGTTGGGTTTGAATGAGTTGTATGGTGATTATGTTACAAACTATGATGTTTCAGTGAGTGGAAGCTCTCAATTAAGCCCCAGTTCTGTTTCTTTACAATCTGAGTCAACTGAAAGTAGGCCTGTCTCAAAATTCAAAGCCCAATTGAAAAAGCAAAAACAAGATAGTGGCCTCTTAGGGTTGAAAAAAAATGAACTTGAACTATATTTGAGTGAGAACATTCTTGAGGAGGACAATGAATTTGATATACTGAGATGGTGGAAGCTTAATGGTGAGAGGCTTCTTATCCTATCTAAGATGGCAAGAGACATTCTTGCTGTTCCTATTTCCACATTAGCATCTGAGTCCACTTTTAGTACAAGTGGAAGAGTGTTAGACTGTTTTAGGAGTTCTTTGAGTGCCAAAATTGTAGAAGCACTCATATGTGCTCAAGATTGGTTGAGGATGTCAAACCAGCCTGTGTCAGTTGAAGAAAATATTGAGGAGGTAGAAAGGCTGGAAACAGGTACTAACTTTTACTTATTTAATATTCAGTGTTTATATTTATACATATTGTTAAATTCTTATTGTTTTCAATGCAGAATTAACTGATGGAAATGTTGGTGGAGGCTCTTCTCTTGATCAGATAGTAGTATACTTTTTACCTTTATCTTTTAGATATGTAATATATTATATTATTATTTCACTAATGATTTGTTATATATGCTTATGTCAATGATCTGGTTGTAAAAGCCTAACCATGTTGCTGTCGTGGCATTGGAAGTGTTGTTGATTCATTGGTACAATTTCTCCTAATTACTGTGTTTGTACTTTGCACAACAAGACATGGTAATCTTCTTTCACTCTTGAGTTAATTGATTAAGTGTAGCATGTATCTGGCAATGATGATAGCTTCCACCAAAAATGAAATTGATGGGTTGGTGTTGATTCTATTTCCATATAGTTTCGTATGCCCCCATTAATAGTGAAGTCAATTTAAATCTGAGCCAAATATAACAACATACATGCTGCCTTAATGGAAGTACTGGAATTTGGTAATGTGAACATTGAGTTAATTGATTAAGTGTAGCATGTATCTGGCAATGATGATAGTTTCCACCAAAAATGAAATTGATGGGTTGGTGTTGATTCTATTTCCATATAGTTTCCTATGCCCCCATTAATAGTGAAGTCAATTTAAATCTGAGCCAAATATAACAACATACATGTTGCCACTTAGACAGTAAACTGGAATTTGCTTATGCATATGTATTTATGACTTCTGACTTATTAGATTAATTGTTGCATTATTTAATCAGTAATGATAGTTTCCACCAAAAAAATTAAATTAAGAATACAAAACTGAGTCAAATTAAGGATATGTTGCTTCCTGCCTTGGTTTTACTACTGCAATTTTCCTATGTACTTATGAATTATGAGTTCTTACATGAATTGTTTACTCAATTAGTTATTTTGGCAATGAGGATGGCTTCTAGCCTTCTACAGTTCTACCAGAAAATAAAATAAATGGGTTTGGTGTTGATTCTAATTATATAGTGATTAATGCCCCCATTATTAGTGAACTGAAATTAAATCTGAGCCAAATCTTATTGTATTTCTATATACTTTTGAATTGTTTATAGTTCCCACTTCCCAAGTTCCCAGAAAATAATAATGATAATAATGACACTAAACACTTCCCAGTTTAGTGTTTTATGATACTAATGTGTTTGTGACTTACATAGGAACAAAATCAATGACTGTTCGGTTGATGATCTGCGAAATTGATGAAACCTGGAATTCTGGAAACACTCTAGTAGACTAGTAGTCAAGTAGATGTCAAGAGTCAAGATCTGAAGACTTGTACATCAATTGAATGTTGTTAAACTTTTTGTTGGTACTTGCTGTTTTGGAACATTTGATTGCTCAAACTCTAAATGTTAAACTGCTTTGTGCATAAGCAGTATAACTGTGTAAGTGTATAAGTAAGTACCAAGTAGTATTGGAGTAATGTGTATGAATGTATGAGTGTATAAGTGTTAAGTGTATAAGTTATAAACTTATAACGATTAGCCATGTGTTTGGAGTTGTACAAACTCTACTAATTTTGTAATTGCTTTTGATAACATATTATTATGTATTTTATTTGTGTTTGTAAAGTCTAATCCAACATTTTTTTTTCAAGGTGATTTTATGAATTATTTGTGTTATGTGTTTAATGGATTTTAATCAGCCCGAATGGCCCTGAGAACCGATTAAAACCGACCCAAATCCGAAATTGTGCAACCCGATTAGCCCGAAATATTTTTTGGACGGGGTAGGGTTTTATATTCTCAGCCCGATAACCGAAAGGGTATGCAAAAATCCAACCCGTCCTACCCGAACCCGTCCGACGCTCTCCCCTACTTGTAGAAAACTAGTTACTCCACATGTGTGCTGCACGGGAGTAAGACATCCAAATAGTAATTTAGATATAATTATATATTGAGAGAATTTTCTAAAATAGAGTAAAAAAGTTTTGAAATTCCAAAATAGGAGTATCATGTTTTTTATTCCTTGAATAGGAATAAATTTCTACCAAGTTTGGCATTACTAGGCTTTAAAACATGACATTTTTTTCCAAACTTGGCAGATTACTCCTATTCAGAAAATAAAAAACATGATACTTCTATTTTGGAATTTCAAAACGTTTTTGCTCCTTGATGGATAGTCTACCTGGGGGTATGTATCCGAAGGGTTACTTCGGGGAGTAACTAGAGAGAAGTCAGAGCAAGTAAGAGAGAGAGTGTATTGAATATATGAGTTCAAAGCGTATTCCGAATGTCTTTTACAAAGGGGAAATGTGGTGCTATTTATAGTAGCAATAAATGCGAGACGGGGACACGTGTCAAGCATCCAACGGCCGAGGGGTCACATCAACCGGGTGTCATTGGCACTCGCATGTGGCTTCATTAAATGCAGTGGTTGAATGCGACGTTTTGTACTTGGTACGCTCATCCACCGCATGTGGAGCGCAGATCCTGTCGAGGAAGTTGCCCCCGGCTGTAGGTGACAGGCCGAAGGCTCTTCCTCCCGGGGGCCTCTAGGTGACGAGGGCTCTAGATGACGAGGACTACTGTTTTCACCGTTTTCTCCCAGTAATTCCGGATGCTCAGAAACAGTCGTATTGTAAGTTCATGAGCCTTCGGCCATGGGGCCGAAGGCACCCCAATGTGCGTCGTGGGCTGCTTGGTACTTGGAGGTGCTGTGATTTGGGCTTGATGTGCCTCTTGGGCTTATTGGGCCTGATTGTATTAGTGGAAGTATGTGGATCGGGGATCCCTGGGCCATATACTTCATCACTCCTATTTAGAGAAATTTATATTATATATTTAAAAATATTTAAAAAAACATGAGTGTGTTAGAATTATTTGAAAACATTAAATAAATTCTCAATAAATGGTAAGAACCAGGGGCGGAGCCAGGGCATTGGGGCGGACTGGACCCATACAAAGAATATTTTTGAATTTCTTTTACACAGAATTTTTTACACTAAAAATATAGACATTTTTAAAATGTGGACTGAGCCAGGGCCAGGACCAGGGCTGTCCCTCCCCTAGCTCCGCCACTGGCATGTGAGTCCACCACACTATAACGAAAATTATAAATTACTCTTTAGTACATATTTCTTTGTAAACAACATTCAATGTTGATTTGGTTGGTTGTCCATCTTCGTCATTACAAAACTCCAATCACATGAACTTGTTACTCTCCACACCACCACGTACAAATGTTTGTGAGTAATGAAGGGGCGTCAGAGTAAGATGACAACATTTTTCAACGATTGTCTGTGACTCTTATTAATGGTCATTGCAAACCTAACAATTAATAGAAATTGTGCGTGCTGAAAATCTACATAGTCTAATGTCTAGTGGTGCTAAAGTGAATCTAAGAATAATAAACTTTTTACCGACATTTTCTCCATGAATCGTTTGAGCCTTGATAGTATGAGCTCGAAGTATAATCACCACAAATGGTGTACAATTGTACAATTCGGATGAATGATCAATATTCCTCATAAGTTTTCAGCTTTAGCTTTTGAATTGACAAAGCTTATATGAGTATGATAAACCCAGTATACTAACAATCAAACAATCATAACAGGTAAAGAAGAAGAAAATAGAAAGATATGAGATGAACAAACGAATCTGGTATACCATGTAGAGTGCCGCTGCTCTCCCTCGAGAGAGAGAGAGCGCAGCGGAAAACCTAATCTCTCTATCTCTGCGTCTCTATTCTCTAAAGCCTCAAACGTTAGGGTTTCCATAAGTTAGCCTCCTTTTATAGGAGAAGTTGGCTAACTTATGGATTACAGAGAAGCTAACGGACTGATACACATTTGTGGCCCGTATTACACATTTAATTAATAACTACACAAATACAAAGATATTTAATTAGATTGGACACCATAATATATTCCTAACAATCTCCCCCTTGGTGTTCAATCGTGTTGAATCAGCATTGCAACGCAAATATCTTTGTCTTTGTTGTTATTTAGCTTCCTTTGTCTTTGAACTTGGCTTCTGAGGAAGGTTTTCTGAAGAAATCCTTGCAATCTCCCCTTTGATGTCTTCTTAATAATTTGATCTTTGATGCCGGGGGTTGAGGGATCTTCAGTATCTTGCATGCAGTCCTTGCCTTCCAGAAGTTGTTCTTGATCAGCTTGGATGAAGTCCGGTGACGCCTCTAGAATGAATATTCTTTGGAGAATAGGGGGCGCCCATGGAATTCATCTTCAACAGTTTGAGTATCTGACCATTGTCCCCTCCACAATGTAGTCTTTTTTATTATTCGAAGTAAATACGTTTGAGGAGACCTTGTCGATGGCACAACGGAAAATGATGGTTGACTTGTGAGCGTAGCTGACGATTTGGAGCTTTTGATAGAGATAGTAGAGAAGGTGTTGGAAGAGAGAAGTGTCCAAGACTGATTTTTGAGAGTTAAACAGCATGTGGAACACTCTCCCCCTCATGACGGTCCGATGAATCGGGGTGTCATGCCTTTATTCTTTTATTCTGCGGAAATAAAACAGGAAAAACAAGCAGAATGTAGAAATGCAAAAACCAGATACACTGATGTGTTCCGTTAACACAACATCAATGTAAACATCGATGTGTGGCCTGTATATAATGATAGAAGCATTATTAAGCTCTAACAGGACTTCCAACCAGTCATTGTGAAGCATCCAAAAAGATGTCACTCTGGTTGTTATGACATGACCATAAAGGTCAGCAAAGATAATGTAGCCCCCCGGGGTCGTGTAGACGCCCGTTATCATCACTATAGAGATAAACTCTGAAGCGATGGCCTGAAAATGTTGGTGATTCTTATGTTGTAACAACAGGACTTCCTTCCAATCATTGATCTACATCTGTAATAGATGAGCCCTATGGAAGTTCTCGCGGGTCATGTAGACCTGCAACTGACTCAAAAAGTGCGTATGTGTCCTAGAAAATTTCAAAACATTTGGGAGTGAGTAACTAAACACGACGTGATCAATGAAAGTTCAGTGGCATGGGGCTGAGGCCACTGTAGTCAGTATGACTTGCCTCGGAAGGAGACAATGAGAGATGTGGTTCCCCGTGAAGTATGATTAAACACATGTCTGTTAGGAGACAAGTGAGTGGTCTTGGGTAGACTTAAGTATGTACTGTTGGACAAGATGCAGTGA